TTATGTATATATATATATATATAAATGAATGTATGTCTGTCTGTCTGTCCTTCATGCATTACTGCACCATTTATCCGATTGCCATGAAACTTTGGGAAGTTGTTTAATACACTCCCGCAAAGGTTTCTGGCATAGTACATTTAACCTACAATAGATGGTGCATGTGTATATCAGCATTTCAGCACGGTGAGGAGTTGAAACTTGAAATTTGGTACACAGTTAGGGTATGTCACGAGAATGCACACTAACAAGGGATTTTTTGAAATCCCCCACGGGGAAAGGGACAGGATTAAGGCTTCAACAATGGAAGTGTTAAGAGAAAGCAACATGCAAGATTTACAGGCGCAGATGTGGTTTTTTGCGTTAAATTGAACATAATTTTAGACCCATCTAAAAATTTTCGGTACTTATGTGTTAAGAGGACGCCAGTTCAGTGGGGACGCACGTTCTAACCTAACCTATTCTAATAAATTACCATAATTATTACCAATCAAATTAATAGTATAGGTTAGGTTAGGTTAGAACGTGCGTCCCCACTGTTTCCTTTTGTTTGCTGGAATCAGAGATGAGCCGCCATGACGGTATACGTATCTGGACTTTAACCGGCAAATAGGCGATATCTATCATCCTAATTAATTTTTTTTTTTCATTTTTACAACCTTATCAGTAACTTTTTTTCTTCCTTAGTCAGTAACTTTCCTAATCAGTAACTTTCATTCAAAATCGCGACTTTGATCGCTATTTCCGACTGGCGTCCTCTTAACACATAAGTACCAAATTTTCTAATTAGTCTGGAAACAGGGGAACCTAATTCTTGCATTCTGTGAAAATGGGTAAGATTGGCTGTAATGTAATAATCTTAAACTTCACTATCATTATTTTTTGCTCAAGCAATGCCAGGCTTATCTGCTAGTTCTACATAAATAAAAGAATAGCAACATATCTTGAATTTCCTGAAAGAGATGTCAAGAAATATCTTGCTGAGTTTTTTGTAATGTAATAAAATACAAATGTTGTGTAAGTAAAGGAATTTACTTACATAATAATTGTATAATTTATTGTACCCTTTAAATATTATGTACATTTCTTAAATTTTTTTTTTTATTAAAAAATTTTTCTCTGTGTAGCGTATGCTTTTGACATCCAGTGGGTACTTACTGTAATCTTTTCTTTTTTTCAATCCTGTGGAAACTAAGGGAGTCTTTTTTCATGCCTGTTTAAGGATTTGGCCAAACTGATGTTGGAGTGACAGGTGATGAGGGATGGCATTCAACATAGAACAGTCTGCTTATAAAAAATTCCTAGAATTGCTTGCTCATATTTGATTTCCCAGATTGGCAGGCTAACACTCTTACTGCCATGGTCATCCATCTGTTGTGTACTGTAGCAGTATGCACATCCCCCTTGGATATGTTATTGCATAAAATATAGTGATAAAACTCATTACTTTGAGTAATTGGAAGATATTAATATTCCTGTGCTAAGTATTTGATTGATTAAAATTCATTATTAATCCTTCAATTACAATGACATGTAAACTAGAGTAAGGATAATGAATATAACTGAAAAAAATTGTTTCAGATACTTGTAAATAAAGCAAATTTAAATTAAAATGCTCTCAAAATAATTGTTTAATGATACAATGAAAATGATTTTCAATTAAAAAATATTCTATTAATATATATAAAATTTAAAGATAAATTTATCTTTAATTAGATGAATTTAAGTGTAAAAAATAAGATAAAAAAAAGAACAAAAGATTTAAGTGTTTATTTTATTATTTAAAAAGTACTGAAGATACTTGTACTAGTTACAATTATTTAATTAATACAAATATAATAATTTTTGAATTAAATTTAATAATTTTATTTAATTGAAAATAATTAAATCAAAACTAAAGATAACATTTTTTTTTACTTTATTTTTTTTAAACATTGTAATGTGGAAATCTGTTTTATGTTAATTTAACTGACATTTATATAAAATTTAAAATAACTTGGTCTGAGTACACATTAGCAATGACAATACCTTAGTGTAGTAGTGTTCACATATAAGCTTGTGCTTGTGTATTATCTTCACTAACGTGCATTTGAAGACACCTTGTGTGTGTGGTATGGCCTTAACAGAAAGTGGAAACTGAGAAAGTTTTCTGAAATACTGAAGAATAAAAAATTTTTAATATATATAATATGATATGACTTTGAGTCAATGAATCAGTTTCCATTTGTTTTAGAATTAACATGATAACATTTGACTTTTAAATAATTTTATGAGAATCATTATGTAGAAAAGGGGATTTATTAATTCATTTTAGCCTGATTATAAAATTGAAACTGTAATGATAATCCTGGACTGAATAGTAGCTCTAAGTAGTAAAGTATAAACTTTCCAGTTATTGTTATATAGAACTTGTTTATTGCCTATTTCAGTAGTATATTTTGCATATTGTTGTTTGGTGCTATTAGCAAATGTGGCCAGGTTTGTGTGGTGCTATTAGCAAATGTTTATGCAAGATGCGGGACAAATCACTCATGTGTCCCACACAAGTGATTTGTCCCGCATCTTGCATAAACATTTGCTAATAGCACCACACAAACCTGGCCACATTTGCTAATAGCACCAAACAACAATATGCAAAATATACTACTGAAATAGGCAATAAACAAGTTCTATATAACAATAACTGGAAAGTTTATACTTTACTACTTAGAGCTACTATTCAGTCCAGGATTATCATTACAGTTTCAATTTTATAATCAGGCTAAAATGAATTAATAAATCCCCTTTTCTACATAATGATTCTCATAAAATTATTTAAAAGTCAAATGTTATCATGTTAATTCTAAAACAAATGGAAACTGATTCATTGACTCAAAGTCATATCATATTATATATATTAAAAATTTTTTATTTTTCAGTATTTCAGAAAACTTTCTCAGTTTCCACTTTCTGTTAAGGCCATACCACACACACAAGGTGTCTTCAAATGCACGTTAGTGAAGATAATACACAAGCACAAGCTTATATGTGAACACTGAATTATAAGTGACTGAGNCAGAATTCCAGCTTTTTTTTATATTTATATCAAGGTTTAATCATTCTTAATGAAGTGAAATCAAGTGATAAATATTGAATAATTTTTAGGATAAATAGTATAAATAAAAATTTAACTTAATTATTTTTGTTTTTTTTTTTATTAGATACATTTTTAAATGGCCAAAATTAATTTTAGGAATTAAATAAAAATGATATATGTCAAAATCGTTAATTGTGAAAAAATTTCTTGAAAAAAATTGCCGTAATTTTTTTCCATTTTTATCCCATTAGACCTAATTTGAAATCTGGTAACTCTGATTCCCGGTCACATGAATTTAGTGTCAACAGTTGGTCATTGGCTGTTAAATACTTTTGCTATTGGTTTAAATCAATCTTTATACTTTTTAAATGAAAATGAATGACAAAATTCATTTTACTTATATAAAATGAGGAATGTTTGTATAAAATGGATCACAAGGATTATAGTGATAATCAACCAAACAATTGCCTAAACATTTGGGCCATAAATCTGCTATAATTAATGATTAAATACTAAGTAATTTGATACTAGATATAGCTGTTAGGTGCCATCTATTATCTAAATTAATAATTAATCCTATAACTAATTAATTTAACTGTCTTGCTCTCAATTATGAAATTAAAAATAATGAAGTATGATTTCCTTATTTTAATTAAAATAGCCTTAACTTCTGTTTGTTTATTCTATAGGCAGCTCCCATTTTAGAAATAGACAAGAATTTAAAGTCAACAGTCTCAACTTATGAAAATGCCGTTATTCCATATGGTATCATTAGAGGTAATGTACAATCCAAGAGCATACCACTTAGAAGCAGTCATGTACAAGATATTACTGGTGTCATCAAAAAGATTGCCGTTAGTGAATATAAAGTAATGTGGAGCCCTGTGTTAAGATTCTGGTAAATACTCACTTTTTTTTTTTTTAGGGTTATAATGATGAATTTTCTATCACCAAACATGCCCTGTCACAGGATAGGATTTTATAACAGGTTCAATTTATTCTAAAACCAGGTATTATGTTCCCTTTTCCCAGTTTCAGCCTTATGTATTGCCTTCAGAAAACTATTTAACTAAGCCAGGGGTGCACAACCTGCGGCCTGCGGGCCACATACGGCCCCTTATCAATGTTTATGCGGCCTGCAGACGGTACAGGCCAAATCCCTTCTTTCGAAGTTTCTAAGTGTAGAACTTTTCTCTTTCACAAAGTCATTAGCACCCAACTGTTTTATAACTTTCCCTGAAGTGAGAAATGGGGGGTTGTTCTATAAATAAGTCTATTTCTAGCTAACACTTTCTGGTTTAGATATCGAATATTTTAAGTCTAATACATAGTATTATAACGATTTTTTGAAGAATCAAATAAAATAAAATGATGTTAGAACGACATTTCCGATGTTATCAGGAAGTTTCTATTTTGGCGGGAAATCTTCAATTTTATGCTTCGGAAAACTTGCTTATTCGTCTAAATAGCGTCAAATAACAAAAATAAATGAAAATAGCGCTGAAAAACTATGAAAATAACGATTTTTTATGATTTGTTTACATTCTAGATTCTGATTGGTATTGTCGAATTTGAATCAATCTTTTCTGAAAAGACGCTTATTCGTCAACATAATGTCATTCAAACTAGAAAAAACTAACCAGAGTTCAAAAAGAAATGTACAAAAAGCTATAACAACCAATAATTTACAATAATTATCTCTCCATAGACTAAGAATAGAAAAAAATTTTTTCGCATCAAATTTATTATTATTAAGTTGGACCAAGAAAATTAATACTGTAGTTGGAATAGAGTCATTATGACTAAAAGGAAGCCGTTTGCACTAAAATATTTTGGATTTAATAATTATTACAAACTGCGTCAAGCCATAAACTTGTCAACAAAGAGGGTTGTAAAATGATTCCGTGTAGCTAGAAAGCTGCGGTTTCTTTTGTTTGAAAGAAAACAGATATATTTAGGTTATTTAAGTAGTAAATTAATTGGAACTTTTTATTTACTTTTATTTTTACATTCTTTTTTTCGTAAATTTAAAATTAAATTATTATTTTTAATTTTTATTTTATTTGAAATTTAACAGTCGTAAACTGTGATATATTTGTGACAGAAAACAAAAAACAGATTGATTCTAGCGCCAATTTGAAACGAGATATCGCAATTTTAATAATTATATTTAAAATATTCAGATTTTCCGCTGCACCGCGTTAATCACTTTTGATTCATTTCTGAACACGGGGGTAAAACTGACGGGCCATAAATATAATTTAGGTAAGAATGGTAACCACATTTATGATGGATTAGTGTCCTGCACCTGGCATGTTGACGATCTGACTCACAAATTCTGAGAAATGGTGGAGACGCCCGGACAGGGGTCGAACGAATTAAGACCTGCCTGGCCATTTGTCACGTGTGCGTAATAGTCTTCTGTCCCTGCCTCTTTAGTCTTTGGTCAGAGTGGATACAGAACAAAGCACGTGGTAGTCTAGCTTGCCTTATCTCAAACATGATTTGTTGCGGGCCTCAGAATTTTCGGCACAATGAGACATTGTTTTGCAGAGTGAACAGTATGGCGCCGGGCATTAAACGCAAGGTCAATCGCGAGAATCATCAGTTTCAAGAAGTGGAAGTGTGGACTAACAAGTACTGTTTTGTGCAACAGAACAACAGCATTATTTGCCTTTTGTGCAATGGAACAATAGCAGTGCCAAAAGAATTCAACCTGAAGCGACATCATGAAAGCCAACACAAGGATTTCCTTCTGCAAGGTACGGAACGCAAACGGAAAATCGAATCGTTACGACGATCACTAATCAGCCAACAAAATGTGTTCAAGAAACAATCTGGAGAATTGGATGCGGCTGTTGAAGCCAGCCTAGAAATATCTGCTTTAATAGCCAAGAATGGGAAACCTTTCACAGATGGCGATATGATAAAAAAGTGTCTTATCATCGCAAGTGAGATGTGTCCTGAGAAGACAGTGTTTTCAAACAATCAGTCTTAACCACATGACGATACAACAAAGAATCTCGCAAATTGCATCAGACATTTCTGGCCAACTTAATATTTTAGTTGCAAACTGTGCTTATTTTTCTTTGGCTGTGGAAGAATCCACTGACATATCATCAACAGCACAAGTGATTGTGTTTATTAGAAGTGTTTCACTAGATTTTATTGTGAATGAAGAATTTCTTGGCATGGCATCACTTTCTGGACATACAACTGGTGCTGACTTATTTACTAGTTTATTGAGCGTTTGCAACAAATCAGCACTGGACTTTGACAAGCTATCCAGCATTGCCACCGATGGAGCACCATCTATGGTTGGATGTGAGAATGGCATGGTCACCTTGCTGAAAAACCACCTTGGGGACAGGCAAAAGGAGTTAGTCCAGTATCATTGCATAATTCACCAACAGCAACTTTGTGCAAAGAAGCTGGGATTTGAACGTCTGCTGAAAGATGTCTATGATACTGTGAACTTAATCCGCCGTCATGGACTCAACCATCGACTCTTCACATCATTTCTTGAAGAAATAGATGCTGATTATGCTGACCTGCCCACGTATACTGAAGTTCGTTGGCTGAGCAAGGCAACAGTCCTCAAGAGATTTGTGGAGCTATTGGGGCCTATTATCACTTTCCTCAAAGAACGGGGGAACACTACAAGGAATTTGGAGGGACAAAGATGGCAGTGTGATTTAGCTTTCCTTGCTGACATTACTGCTTATCTAAACGACCTTAATTTGAGATTGCAGGGAAAGATGCAACTTGTTTCTCAGTTGACAAGTAACATCAATGCATTTATGACCAAACTATCACTTTTCAAGTCCCACATGCAATCAGAGAACTTTACACACTTTCCACATTGCAAGGCCATGAAAGAGAAATACCCACATATGAAGATGGATTACTCTGACCAAGTTAACACCCTCCTTACATCATTCAATGAGAGGTTTGGTGAATTCCAGAAATACAAGATCTACCTGCAACTTTTTTCAACTCCATTTGATGTGAAAGTGGAAGATGCCCCTCCAGATGTCCAACTTGAGTTGATAGACATCCAGTGCAGTGATGAATTGAAATCACAGTTCAAAAATTCTAATCTCCTCACATTCTACAAAGAACTGCCAGATACATCATTTCCAAAACTGAAAGACAATGCTCGATTTTGTGCAAGCATGTTTGGCAGTACCTATGTATGCGAACAGGCATACATAGGTACTGCCAAACATGCTTGCAAGTTTTCACTTATGAATTTAAACAAGTGCAAAACATGGAACAGGTTAATCAACGAGAATTTGGAAAATCTGCTGGTTGTTTCAACATCTGCCATTACACCAGACATCAAGAAGATTGCTGCCAGCATCCAATCTCAGCCATCACATTAATCGCTAGGAGGTCCGGCCCCCAGTCAGTAAACTTAATCCTAATTTGGCCCTTCTTCACAAAAGGTTGTGCATCCCTGACTAAGCTCTCCATTCCATTTGGTAATATTTCTTTAAAGCTTTTCAGGTTATTTTCCTCCTCCAGTTATTGTTTGTCCATATCTCCTACCCCCATTTTGTTTTATCCTTTCCAATGATTGGATTGCCTCCTTACACAAGAAAAATCCAGGATCTAGCAGTTTCTTTAATGGACTCATCAAACATTCAAATAATGTTATGTGGGAACCACTACTAGAATGCTCAGAATATGTTGGAAGGAACACAAAGCATCCATCAGCCACAACTAGCCCATAACAGAGTTTGCTAGGTTTACATTTCTTTAGCACTATACATCTGTCTGGAATACACTGTTTATTATCCACTAGAGATGAGGGTTAAAACCTTTTTCTGGGAGCTACTCTTTATTTGCAGTCTGTAGCTGGTCAGTGCTCCCATTTAGCTTTTATATAGCATTAGTTGCACATTTGAAAGCATTTGCTTACACTGGATATGGTTGAGTCACTCACCACTTCATAAGTTTCCCTACATATTTTTACAATTCTTCAAACCTGTTTACACTTACAGCAATTTATAGCTCATTTTTATCATTTGTATCATTATCAGGGATGCCCAGAGAGAATACAAAAAGAGATAATTGTTCTGAGCCCAAAAGAAGTGGAGCCCTATACAATTCAATAAAATAAAAATACAATATTTGAAAAATATTTATGAACTAAATTTTAAATATATATTGTATCAATAGATAAATGTGAATGTATAAAATTCATTTTGCATTCAAAAACATTTTTCTACTGGAAACTAAAAAAGTTTTGCAGAACATACAGTGTGTTGATTTCATTTCTCTTTTTTTCATTTACTTCCTTTACATGAATATAATAATTTAATTTTGCTATGGGCCTCCAATATGAAATTTGCTTCAAGTTCTTATCGTCTTTTGAGCAGCCATGTCATTATTATTTACTAGAATTTCTCCTGTCAATCATGATGGAATATTTTTTATGAGAAAGTAGGGGTTGAAGAATTGAGAAGAGCTTCAAGTCAAGCTCGACGATGTGACACTTGACAAAGCCATTCTTACATGATGTTGCTTAAGTCGGAGTTCACAGCCTTCAGGAGTCTTAGTTGTTTTTATTCTTTTAGATCTACAATTTACCAACCAATTCTAATCTAACACGCTCTTCTAGGCATTTTTTTTAATAGCGAATTGTTTTAATTCCACGTTGATAAAACAAAGACGAATTGTATGTAGGTTAATTAGATGAGCGATAACACTTTCTAAATAATGGACTCATTAGATCGTTACTTCTGATTGGATAATGAAATGTCACATGGTCACTATGGAAAGATTATTTTTGTTTAATTTGTTAAAGAAGTGATATGATGTGACTATCATTTTCAAATTTTAAATTTAATGAAGTAACTTTAAAATACACTAGGTGTCAAAATATTTAAAAATGCAACTTAAGGGAAATTTCCTCATCAAGCATGAATGTCACATGGCCACTGATATCATTGCAATATAAGGACAACCACTGATCCAAAATCAATAAAAAGTTTATTTTATAGCTAATATTTCCTCAAAATAAGTAGCCTATACTTTTTGTCAGAACATAAAATGAATATAACCAAAATTTTGTCTGGATTGGACAAAAATTGCAGAAGTTATAAGGAATTCACATATACAACAGCAGCTTTTATATTAACACACTGACTGCCGACTACTTTGTTTCATTCTCGTTGTTCGTAAAGAAGTTTGCAACGTTGCATGCAAAGTAATAAGTTTTTCTTGTTTCTGTGTGTTTTAATATCCAATTCTTTGCAATCCATATTTACAGTAATTTTATTCATTTGTGAAAATTTGATAACTCCCCCCATATCCAATTAGGCTTTTTTGATTTTATAGAAGTATTAAGAAATTAATTATATATGTTTAAAAACTATAGTTACTGTATTATTTATTTAAATTAATATAAAATATTTTCATCATAAATACTTATTTTTGGTGAAATGTATAGTAGAAAGTGGCCACAAATCTCTACGTATACTAGTTAAAAGTTATCTATATGTTCTTCGTTCTCTACACACATTTTAATTTTTACCTGCATTCTTCTGAAACTCATCCACACTTAAAGTTGGAAGTCATTAATCCTTCTATAAGCAATCTGATAGTTCTGTTTAGATCTTTTGACTGTTGTAAAATTGATAAATTTTTTTTCATGGAGCAACCAAACTTATAGTTATATTGTTAAGTGAGAATTTTGAGGAATTGGTTCACATCCAATTCATTGGGCTGCAATTTGAAAAATTGTAGACTTATAAATTCCCACTGTTGTTCGTCTATCTTTCCTTAATTTTGAGAATGGAGTTAGATAGATGAAAGATGAGACCAGATATGAAAACCTTGGGAGGACACCCCAATTAACTTTATGTATGAAATTCTGTTACAAACTGGAATCATATAAATAAAACCAAATTGAAAATTCAAATGAAAATCTGCATGTTGAAATTTTACAGCTATTGAATATTTATGAAGTTAGGAATTATAAAATTAACCTAATAGCCAAGCTATTCAAAAAGAATAAATCTAAAATAGCCAACATCTGCTAATAATTTTCTCTTTCTTAAATTGTATTCAAGAATAGAATAATTCAAGTTTGTAATTGATTGGCGAAATTTTAAGTTATTAATAATGCATATCCTTACATTTCATTTTAATTAATGATAATAAATATTAACAATATACAGCAATGTTTTATGCCTGTAATAAACAAATTTGTGAATATGAAGAATTTGTATGTGAAATTATTTAAACTCTTCTGTCTTTAATTGCAAATGTGATTAACAAAATCTTTTAATTTATAATTTATGAAAAATTTAATTGCATAAAATATATTTTTATATTTAAATCTCCGACAATAATAATTTAAAAAATTTTATTAAAAATATATAATAATAATTAATAATAACATAAAATAATGATGCTCAAACATCAAAAATACTTAATGAGTGGAAAAACAATGAAAGTAAAGTAAATACACAAACAGTCAGGACCTGTTTTCCACTCAGTGAGTGTTTTTGGTCTTTGAGTCTAACATATATTACATGAATGTTAATTTATAATTTTAGGTCTGAAACAAAGCATGATATAAAGAGTACATTGAATGCAGTTCCTTTTGTTTTGAAAAATGAATCCTCTTGGCAGAAGGCATTTGTAGATGTTGAAGAACCATTTTCATGTGAAACACTTCCATTGACAATAGTTTATGATCAGTTTACACCAGTAGAGCAGAATTTTGGAAGTACGGTAATTGGTTGGCTACGTGGTGAAAGAACTAAAGGATTTCAAGAATTAGAAGAGATGTTATTAGAGGGGACTGTTCTCACAGGAATTGGAAAAATTACGATAGAAAATAATGCTGTCAAATTAAAACCACCTTCAGATGGTCTGTCATATTATTTGACAGCTATGTCAAAAGAAACAGTGCTTAGAAAATTAAATGATGATGTCAAGTTTTTACGTGTGGTTTCAATTCTAAGTGGTGTTCTGGGTGTTTTCTTGATTACTTGGATAACAAAATCACTTTATACCAATTGGAAACGAAAATTCGAAAGAGAGAGGGATGCGAGACGCCGTGAAGAACTTCGAAGAACGAGGAATCATAATGGAGTACAAGAAGAAAGGAATCATAATGCTCCCACCTGTGTTGTCTGCCTCACAAATTCCATTGAAATGATGATTCTAGAATGCGGTCATGCTTGTCTTTGTGCAGATTGTGCTGAGGAAATTTTGAGACGAAGACAATGTCCAGTTTGTCGTTCTACAATCACTAGGATAGTAACAACATTTTTACCATAAAATAAAATATAACAGAGATACTTCATATAAAGATATTTTTAAACTCTTTTTGGTTAAACTGAGATTACTTCAGTTTAACCAAAAACAGCCTCAGTCACTTATAATTCAGTGTTTATGGGAGATGAAATGTGCTGATACTAGTGTTTTGTTGATGATGATGTATATTATTATTAATGGCTTTTTCTTTTAGTTTCTATAATCATACATTTACCAAGTGTAATAGTTTCATAAAAATTCAAGCACATCTTTTTGATTCTATTCTGTTTAAAAATGGTGATACCAGTTCACATAATTTATATGGTAAAAATTATCAATTGTCTATAAATACCTTAAACTATGTATAACAAAATTTCCAATGATTATGTATTCATTTATACAAATTATACATAACTTTATGTATAAGTTTATATTAGATACAAAACTGAATTTAAATTATTGATTGATAAAGCATTTATGGCATATTCTTGTACTGTATTGAGATCTGAAGAATCATCAATAACAAATTAGTAGAATATACAAGTACAATTTTCGGTGCTCAAAAGTGGAATAGAATGTGTCTTTAATTGTTAACATTGTTTTTGAGTGCTATGGTAGACTTTATGGTTCTTTATTACATCAGCAACATGCATCATACAATAATATGATAGTTACTAAAATTGATTTAATACATTGTTGTTGGACAAACATCAGAATGCTAAACTTTCATTCAGAATGTTTATTATTAAAGTATTACACAACTTTCTTGATATTCATTATTTTGGCTGAGTTGAAAATATTTATGAAGAAACAATAACTACTTTAGAGTTAATGCTTTATATTTTGATTGAGCCTATTAATTATACAAAAACATATAATGTTTAGTTCATTTTGCCTTCATATTGATTAACCAAGCAAAATTAGCACTCTTCTGGGATAGTTGTGTGAGACAAAGTTACTAAGTAGAATTGAATTTCAACAGAAATATCAAGAACGTGTTCCATATACATCATCTTGATCATTTTTTTTTAACCAAAAGTGCACTTTTAACTGATTATGAATGAATGTTTTAGTGCATTTATGTTGCAAGATCAATCAAGTCAATTTTAGAAATCAATTTAAAAATTTATGTCAGTCTAAAAACGAATTGACAAAATACAGTTTTTTGGAATTATATAATTATTTTTTTTACAAATGTATGACACTATAAATAGCTGAAAATCTAAAGTGACTGAGAGAATTATTTGGAATTATCTCTTCATGTTAAGAGTGTAGTAAATATAAAATATATAGTTACCAAACCAAAGTATTTGTAGTTATTGAATAATCTTCAATGTAAAAAATATAGTAAAATTATTTTTTTAAAACGTTCAAATTAATAAATGATTAGTAGAAATGAAAGTTTTTTTCTGTGTAATTGATTGTGAATTTTTTGTGACAAATATAATCAGTTTTACATTCCATAAATATATAAGTACTTATACTACTATATAAGGAAAGTTACTTATATATACTACTATATATATACTATTGGAAACATAAATTATATAAATTTTAAATCATCTGAAACTTTGTTGTTTTATTTCTTTGATTCACTAACACATTTTGTGCTAGTGAATCAAATAAATTATATAGTTCAACTATTTCAAATATTAATTGGCATTTTCTGCAGGAAAAAAATCTTGTATTGTTGACTGAGAATGTTAACCGACTGACTGCAGAAAAGTTCCTTATGACTCTATGGCAACAGCAAGTAAACAATACTCACACTATAATAGTCAACAGCACACTAACCCGTAATCCAGTTATTTTTAAAATAATAGAAATATTTTTTGATTGGAGAAAATATTTAGCTGGTTGATTGGCTAAAACCAGCTTGGGAAGAACACTGGAGATCTTTAATCCATAAGACATTACCTAATCCTATGTTTTATCATTTTTAGATAAATACCTTTTAAAGATTCATTAGATTCTGTAGGAAGTTATATATGTCAACTAAATGTCTTTTTGACAATATCAAACATCAATTGTACAACATAAATGTAAGTAGTATTTTTTTTTTTTTATTTAGCACATTTAAGTAAACATAGAGTTATTAGTTTATATTTCTGACTTGTTTCTCTATGAAAAAATCAGAATTTCATAATAAAATATCTTGAATCCTTCAAATATTGATTACAGTTAAATATCAGAATGATTTAAATTGACTTGTAATCAAATATCAATAATCAAGAACTGAATGTGTCTTAAAAAAATGAAACAAACTTGTTACTTAAAATTTGTAAAAGTTTTATTTAACAATAATATTTTTTAAAGACAACTTATAATAATGAATTTAATACAGTAGTACCTTATGGCAAAAAATTTGACATGTTATCACTCATTAAATTGAATTTTTGTAACAAATTATTTCAAATATTGAATTGTTGTTTAGTTAAAGCTGATTTAATAACAATAATATATTTCTATATTATAGTTATATATAATCTTGTAGACTCCAAAAACTGTACTTTTTTAATGACATGCTTTAAATAGCATATACACAGTATGTTGGGTACAATGTAAATATTGATCATTAAAAAATTAAATGCAAGAGCCATAAATACTGATAAAACTTTCAATTTTTTAATTGTCATTAATACTAGGCATACTGCTGGTACAAAAAGTTTCAAGTTTCATCAACTGCACAATTTCTTAGAACTTTAAAATGATAGACAAATTATTTATTTACCCTTAAACATGTATCTAGAGGTAACAGAACTTTCCAGCATAGGTTAGGTTGTGGACTGCAGCAGAGACATAAATATGAAATGCATCTATTCCATTGCTATCTGTATCCAGCAAAATGTGCAGAGGATACCGTAATTTATAATGTGATAAACTACAACTCCTTCAGCACATTTTGTGGATTGATAAAGTATTGTTTTCCTGGAATGGAGTATATAACTGACTCAACATGCACCATTGGGCAGGGTATACTCCACATTATACACAACATACTGTACATGATATTCAAGTGCATTTTACCCTAAATGCACTTGTGTAGGTATCATGTATGTTGTTGTTTAAAATGGAATTTTGTAACACAACATGTCTGGTGTTGAATTTGGGATAAGTAACATTTTGGTCCAGTATTCATTCATGCACTTTGAATAGTGACTAATATATAAACATCCTAGACATGTCAGTAGATCAACAGTTCCCAACCTTTTTCGGGTGTCGACCCCTTTTTATAAAAGCCAAGTGTCCCGCGACCCCGATACAATTGAAAAAGGCATTTTTAATAAGGTAATTAAAAAAACAACGAAATTAGTTTTTTTACTATAATTTTATTTTAAATTGTTTAATAATTTAATGCGATGGTTGAAATTGCATGTTATTAACCAGTTTCAAAATTCGCGGGAGAGTTTTTGTTAACGCCAATCTCGTGTCATTCTCAACATTTAATTTATTTCTCTCAAACTCTCAACACATGTTTCAACCAACTGTGACAGAATAGTGTACCTAGATTACACTTATTTTAATTTAAAAAAAAAATATATGAAATTATTCAAACTTCAAGACACCATTAAAAATAAAAATTGCATTATAGTGAATATTTTTTTAGTTTACTGTATAAGTTGGCGACCCCACAGAAAACCCGTCGCGACCCCCTTCTGGGTCGCGACCCATAGGTTGGGAACCCGTGCAGTAGATGAATGGTTTTAATGATTTTCCATTGGCACAACTACAGCATTCTACTACAGCAGTTTGGTGGATAGGACAACACAGCCCTGTAGCTACTATGTTCCTTAGACTTGACTCCTCTGGATTTTTCTCCTGTGGAGCTACCTAAAAGCATCAGTGTATGATGCCTACCTACTAGCACAGCATAATAATGAATTGGAGATACACAACAGGTCTGTGAAACAGTGAACTAGAAATTCTTCATTTGACCATAAAGCCACAGTTGACATCGTTGTATTGTCACTGAAGGCAGTTGTTTTGAACATGTTTTCTAACAAAATAAAATTCACTTTTTTGTGTCAATTTCTGCAATGTTGTCTTTATCCTTTACAGTCAGAGATTATTTGTATGCTATGTTAAATCATCTTAAATTGAGTCCCTTCAATTATTTTAATGTTGGAACAAACATGTCCCACATGCATCATATGCATACAGTACACTCACACAATGCTGGAAAGATCTCTTCTGCTCCTGGATAAAGTTTAAGTAGACACACTGTATCTATTAAAAAAAAAAATGGTTAACTGAACTCAATTAACAGTTTTCAAATATATGAAAATTTGATACATGTGGTTCAGATTAAAATTAGTATTACACAATATCTTAAGACTAAATATTCTGAATATGTTATTTACTTGCATCAACCAGTTACTTGCAATTTGAAATAACCAAAAATTAATTTTAAAAAAATTACTCAAATTAATTATTTTTAATATTAGAAACTAATTGTACCTTAAACTTTAAAAACGTTAAATATTGGGTTGTTCGGAAAGTAATTTAGTTTTTTTTACCACTAGACAGATTAGTCATATTTTTCCCGCCATTTTCATTCTAAACCGTATTATCATTATATATTTTGACAGCTAGCATTTTAAGGCTTATTTGTAAAAAGTTTTATTTGATTTTGTGTAATTGCTTACTTTTTGTGTCCCATCAAATATGGAAGAACGAAAGCAGCATTTTCAGCATATTTCGCTCTTTTATTACCGAAAAGGTAAAAATGTTGTTCAAGCGAGAAAAAATTGTGTGATGTGTATGGAGAAGATGTATTGACAGAATGACAGTGCCAAAACTGGTTTACAAAATTTCGTTCTGGCAATTTCAATATTGAAGATGCACCACGTTCTGGATGGCCAGTTGAAGCCAATGAAAACAAAATAAAGGTAATGATTAAAACAAACTGCCGAATAACAACACGTGAAATCACTGAGATTAAATTTGTCAAATTGAACTGTTTATGATTACTTGAAACAAATTGGTTTCGTTTCAAAGCTTGATATATGGGTTCCACATGTTATTAAAGAGAGATGTTCTTTGGTGGGATTTTAAGAAAATTTCTTTTTTGGAGCTTTTACCAGACTATTTAACAGTTGATTTGAAAGTGTACTGCTATCGAGTAAACAAATTGAGTAATATCATCAAACAGAAAAGGCAGCCAGAATTGATCAACAAAATTTCACACAAGTTTGGTAACTCATCAGAAACTGTTATAACTTAGATGGGACGTGCTATCACACCAACCATATTCGCCAGATCGAGCACACTCAGATTATTACATGTTCCGGTCTATACAAATTTTTTTTAACTAAGACATTTACTTGAAATGACAATGTCAAAAATCACTTGGATCAGTTTTTTGTAAGCAATGGTCAAACCTTTTATAAATGTGAAATCATGCTACTACCAGAAACGATGACAACAGGTATATGACCAAAATGGTTGATATATAATTCAATAAAATATTTATTTATTATAAAAGTATTGATTTTTTTTCCACAGAGAAAAAACAAAATTACTTTCCGAACAACCCAACACATATTAATTAATTAATTTACTTCTTAATACAATTTCTCTATTGAATGTATAGTATGTAAATTTTCTAAGAATAATAATTATTGGGCTGCAATTTGAAAAAATTATAGACCTATAAATTCCCTGTTGTCTATCTTTCCTTAATCTCGAATGGAGTTAGATAGATGAAAGACGAGACCAGATATGGAAACTTTGGGCAGAAGGCCCCAATAAACTACATACAGTAAGATCCCATTTCAGGTGCATTTCAAATTTATACAGACACGAAAAAATTAAAGTGAAACCCAAATTTCCTGCATTAAGTGACAAACGTTTTATTAAAAATAACATGGATATACATGTTATTTTTAATAAAACATTTGTACACTGCAAAATAAGAATTTTAATCAAACATTAAGATTTTATCACTGAAAATAATATTTTTGAAAATTTTGTACAAAACAAGTGTTACATATTTATCTGGACAGGTTTCAAATTGCAAAGTTTTCTTACAATTTAATTAATGGTCAATATAACCACCATTTAACTTAATTACACTAAATACTCGATTAGGCATTGTTTCAAATTAGATTCTGAAGGAATTCAATCTTTATCCCAAGCATCTGAAATTGCTGCCTCCAAATCATGAGTTGTGGAAAATTGTTTTCCATTGGCATAAACTGTACGAACCATCATCCCCCAAAGATTTTCCATCAGATTCAAGTCAGTGCTTCTAGCAGGCCATGTCATCAGATTAATATTTTTACATTTAAACCACATTTTTGTTGATTTAGAAGCATGCACAGGGGCACTGTCTTGTTGAAAGATCCAATGTGGTCCAGGTTCCAATAAATGATCTTCAAGCATGCCTTGATACTTCTCTGAATTCATTCTTTGAGTTATAAATGCTAAATCTGTGGTTCCATTGAATTCAAACACACCCCACACCATTATTGATCTCCCACCCATTTGGTGTTTTGAAAATATTTGTTTTTTGGTTCTTAAATCATGCCAATAATACTTCCAACCATCTGGACCATTTCATATGTTTTTGTGCCCAATCAAGTCTGTCACTTTTGTGCTTTAATGAAAATGGTGGCATTACAGCTTTTCTGAATTTTAACATTGGAGATTAATTTAAAACTCTCCACACTGTTGTGCTGCTACAAGGCAAGTCTAATTCTTGTTTTATTTTTCTTACTGATGTTTGTTTTGTGGAGCAAACCTTGATGATTTGTCTACAATCTCGAGGTGAAAGCTTGGGTTTTGGACCTGTCTTGAATTTTGGTATATCCTTGCCATATCTTTTTGATAAATAATCACCAACAGTTGATTTTTGGACGATTTATATGCAGTCGACCCCCCTATAATTACGATTCCTATAAAACTACGAAAAAATATACGTATTTTGGAAATGTTGAGTCGGATTAGTCTAGAATCGATTAATTTTATGGAAGAAAATCTTTCAAACAGCCGTAGTCTGTAAACTTGACACGTGTCTGGTTGTGATTGGAAGGATTCTTAAGAAATCGGATTCCTAAAGAATGGAACGTATCTATATCTTATAGGGGGGTTGACTGTATGCTGCAATTCCTCTTATTGACTTGCCTTGTGATTTATAGGCATCAATCTGCCCTTTTTCATAATCAGATAAATTCTTTGTTCTACCCATTTTAGAACTGAACAATATAAAGAATTTGTATTACAATTAGATATGTAAGCTAATTTGTATATTTCAATGCTTGAAACTAAATAATAATCTATTTAAGTCATGAAATGAGTGCCTGTCCAGATAAATATGTAACAGTTTTTTTGTACCAAATTTTCAAAAATATTATTTTCAATGACAAAATCTTAATGTTTGATTAAAATTCTTATTTTGCAGTGTGAAAACATGTAAATCCATGTTATTTTTAATAAAACATTTGTCACTTAATGCAGCAAATTTGGGTTTCACTTTAATTTTTGTGTCCATATAAATTTGAAACACACCTTATTTCAAGAAAAAAAGTAAATAAAGTATATTATTTAAAAATTTTTAAATGCTTTATTTACATATACATATAATTTGATCTGACTTTATATTTTCCATCATAAAACAATGATAAATACCTTAGAAATCAAATTTTATGAATTCTGCCTGTGAAGCAAGTATTCTCCATCTGTGTACAGCACAATCTCCTGAAATATTGAAGTGAAACACATTTCAGGAAATTGTGCTGTACACAAAGAAAGCGGAAGACATTTATACCCTATTTCTGTCTACAGATTATTCTATTAAAAATTCTCTCTCATCGTGGTGTGTTGACTACATACTAGAGCAGACTTTATGCAAAAAAAGTAATTTGCTGAATTTCCTATAAGAATGGATTAGTCAAAAAAACTTGCCTTGCCAAATATATATAACAACCAAGAAAATAATAAAGATAAGAGGAAAAGTTTGGCAATCGGTCAAAAAACAACCCCCAAGATTTTTACGTTTTTGGACTCAACACCTTGAAGTGTCGAGAAATGCAAAAAAATTTGGGTTTTCTGTATGTAAGGATGTTTGTGTGGCATAATTTTGTTCACCCTCTTTGAACCTTAATAACTCCTATGCTTTTTGTCAAAAATTTCTGAAATTTTGCTTTGAGGTTTGTGTATTAGAAGTTTTTTAAAATAAAATATATTTTTAACAGATGATGCCACTAAATATTGCTGGGAAAGTTAAGCAACTTGTTGGATTTTTTCATATATTGTCATTCAATGAATCCAAGTGGTCTTTGTTCCCCGAACACTGGGAGTTCAGTCGTGGGTTCGCACCTCACTTGGACAAGCTGGCCACATGGAATTTTCCAGGTTTTCTCCACGTCTGTAATGCCTAAGTAGGGGTTAGTTTCCTTTTAAAAGACCTCCCTGGAAGGCATCCCCTAGACAAGTGTTGCATTGCCATTACTAAACAAACCAAACCATTCAATGAAGTAATAAAAATGTTATACAAGGTAGGTAAGCATGTTGTTTAATTTATTTTTTACCATTCTTATAGGAAATTCCATAAATTAAGCATTAAATAATCAATGCTGAAACTGCATTGTAAAGATTAAATTAAAATTATTTCTAATACTAGTAACTGTTTTATTTCATGTCATTTTTACACTAACATTACATTTATTTGGAATAGTTGGAATTTCAGCAATCAAATTCATCATTATTATTGTCTGATTATGTTGTGTCTATTGATAATGCAATCTTGCCAACATGCATATCTTAATGTTCACTAATAATAGAATCATCAGATCCTATCACCATAGCATCCTTTCTTCTTCTGTTTTTTTTTCCTGTGGACACTAATGGGGCCTGTATTTCCAGACATATAATAGGGTGGGCAGGACCCAGAACAAATCTGGATGGGTAAGATGTTCTGCGGTTCCTCAGAGCAGTAGGCTGACACCTTAAACATTTAATCCAAATCCATCTCGATGACAGATTTAGATTAAATTAAATATTTTAGACCTTGTCTTAAAACCATTGTCATGATACTTACCTAGTAACAAATATTCTGTGAAAATAATTGATTGAAAAATACAAAAATCCCAAACAAAATTTCCCACAATCCCTTCTCACTACCATACTAAAAATCCTCAAATTGCAAAAAATCCATTGAAGTGGCAATGTGGCAACACCTGATTCTTCCTTTAACTAGTCATACTGTATAGCCTGCAGACAATATATAAAATTTTAGAATGCATGGTGTTCTACAAATACTTCATTTGATCTATAAAGATGGGCTTTTGCTACAGGACTATGGTATATGGTCTGAGGCTTCTTGTTATCTATGATATCTATTTACTTCCAGTTTTGGTGAGTGAGCCAGTTATTCTAAATGTCAGTATATGTGATTTTAATATCAAACAAATATTAATTTTATGCATCAAGATGAGAGAAGACTAGTAGTAAGAGCCGAGACAGGTATCAATTCTTTATTACAAATGCCATTTTAGACATACATATAAATTAATCGTTACAGAACTTTAAAGTAATAACTTAAAATATGAGTAACTAAGTTACTTAACAAGTAATGATTATACATTTTATTGTTTTAAAATAGTATTGAGATCAGAAAGAAATAGTGAATAACAAATTACATCCAAATTTATTCTTTACAACAATAATCATTAAAAACATAATTACATAAACTATAGAACTGCTTATTAACCTTTCACATAAATATGACAACACAATGCAATGATAAAAAACAAGTCAAGTACAAAAATAAGTTTTATAAATGAATATAGTTAATGAAGCAATTATTACTTTAGAAAATTGCAATATCTTATAAATATAAGAAAAGCTCACAATAACAAAATGGCATTTCAACAAAAATGAAATGCAAATAATGGAATGCTTAAACAATAATTAAAATTTAAAAAAAATTCTAATTCAAAGTAAAAATAAAACTTTATAGAATATTCTAATTTATAAAAACAATTTCTTAGATTTTTATAAAGTTAAAACATTTATATAAAAATTGGACATTACATCCTTCGTTATAAAGGTATTATTTTATGATTATTTTAAAATTTAAACACAATTGTCTGATCTCAAATTATAAAATTGATGCTTATTTATTGTAAAATATTTTTCATTCTATTTCAATATCTGTATCTTTGTAATGAAATGAAATCTAATTCATAAAGCATTCTTTATGAAGTTGTTTGTTTTTGGCACAAGTAAATTAACTAATTAGTACTTTTCAGTATAAAAAAAACTCAAATGAATATTTTCTTAAGCTCTTTAGACTTTAAAAAGCATTTTTAAAGGAATTTCTCTTCTTGGGAAATGAGATTTATTTCCAGTAAATGATTCTTAATTAATCATCATTTTTTAATGATAATTCTACTTTTTGCAATTCTCATTATTCAAAAGAGAGATATATAGCTGTCAGATTCATATCTTTTGATTCTGAATGAGTACACTCTAGTAGTATTTTAAAATGATTCGGTTTATTGCACAATGAATATTGCATATTAATAGTTTTACTAAAAAAAATTTTTTTTTAATTTTGAAGTAATTTTCTAATATCATTACATAGGAATATTAAATTAAATTTAGATATTGCATTTTTTTTTATTTCAAGTATTTAATATTCCAATACCCACTTTCTGGTATTAAAGTTTACATATTTTTTCCAATTATTTTTAAAATTTAATTTATTCATCAATATGATACATTTAATTTCTTAGTGTTTCTAGAAACTTATGCATGCTCACTAGCTTTCACCAAAGAAGCAAACATGCTGCCTCTTCTCTGCAGCAAATCTATGGGATGTCCTGTTTCTACGATGTGACCCGAATCTAATACGATTACTCTGTCGTAACTGAGTATTCCACTAATGCGATGCTGTAAAAGATAACTATGTATTAAATTGTTGTCATAATATTGTATAAAAACAACTTAATTTTAACATTCATAATACATTTTAAACCTAAAACATTCTTATTTGTGATATTTATTAACTGTATTGCTATAATTGATATGTGTATATGCACGCACACGAATAGTGACAGATGGAAAGAATGGATATAGCATGAAGACAATTCATGTCTAAATCTGAAATATCTCAACTTACAGTATATACAGAAATGTAATGACATGTATGTTGAGCTCCATATGAAAATTTTTTTGAAATTCCTTGGCACATCTTTATCAGGTTGATATATTTGGGATTTAGCCATGAAGTGTCTGTCAGACTCATATGCCTTTCCGTCAGTGTTATATAAATTTCTGGTAAAACAAAAATATAAATTTTCATCTACAAGTACGTATCTTCTAATGTCAGGACTTATTATACTGGATTTACAGATAATGCTACAGAGTTTCACAGAAAACAATTTTTTATTTTATTTAATATACCTGGAGAGAGACATAATTTTGTGTTTCAGACACTTTTGTCCCTCCTCACCAGGTATTTTAGTAGTATATTCTATATAAATTAAAAGCAATAAAATAAATTTTAAAATTACATTTAACATTTACCAACAAACTTATTAATAAAATTCTTACAATTTTCAGACTTTTTTCTTTCATTTTTAACTGTACTGGACATTCAATTTTAACCAACAAAAACAATATTATTGTAAACTTAAGCCTGTATTAAACAAATTATTATATTAATATTTTACATTAAATCTGTTTTTTTATATTTATTTACCATTTTTTACAACTTGCATCTCTTTCTGTTCAATTTAACTAACTCCTCGTTTCCACTTCTTTTGATTGTTCTTTTTATCTTTCAGACACATGCATTTCTCTACCAGTATTACTATTTATTCTGTTATTTTGTCTAATTATATTAATATGTTCATAAAGTTGTTTTTTGTAATTATTCTTTTCTTTTTTCCTTATTTTTATTGAATTTAATACTATTTTGCAGCCTGTGGTATTACAGTGCTCTGCTACTACTGAATTTGCATAATTTCTCTTGATTGCTCAGATGTGTTCATTTATTCTTATTTTTAGTTTTATTTTCGTTTCCCCTATATATATTTTTTCTGGTTTACCTTTAATTGTAATTGTAAACCAGAAAAAATATATATAGGGGAAACGAAAAGAAAACGTTTGTGAATAAGACCAATAATTTAATAATAATATTTTAACATTATCTCCTGTAGGTTATTTGCCTTTTCTTCCTTAAGTCAGATCTATCTTGAATTTCACTATCCTCCCAGAACTACATAGCATAAATGACCATCTTTTATAGGTTGGTATTTGGACAAGATCTATCAAAAAACTTTTATCCCACAATATGTTTCAGCTTTTCAAAAGTTTACTAAAAAAAATTAATGTAAGACTCCCATTATTGCTTGTTTTATAATGATCACTAAAATTTTCAGAAGTTAGAAAGTTCTTTTTATCTGTGGTAAAATATCTCAAAAGACATTTATTTAATCCTTCAGATCCTGTCAGATTCATAACAGTCTGCAGATGAAAAACTTTGTTATAGAAAAAACTGTTTAAAAATGTTGCTTATGATCTACCAATTTTTTTTATTTCAGTTGACAAGTTAATATCTAGCTCAAGGTGTCATCCAGACTTGGAGCACTAATTTATCTGGTAAGATGTATTAGATATAAATCAATCATGCAAATATGTCAGCTTTCCATCATGAGAGATCTAAAATGAAGTCTTACACATGATTCTCCCAACCCTATTATGTATGATAATTCATTTTTTATCTCCTCCTGTAGCCAGCCATATAATGAGAGATCCAATTTCACACACCATCTTTCATGCCACAAATTGACAAATCAGTAAAAAAAAATAACTTAACTTACAGCTATTGTTAAGACAGTGCAGTCGGCGCAATTGGAAGCTACAACTTTCTGCAAAACTTGATCAGTTTCTGGATCTAACGATGACGTTGCTTCGTCCATTATTAAAATTTTCGACTTTTTTAAAATAGCTCGAGCCAAACAGAATAGCTAGAATATTTAAAGTAAAAGTAAATTTGTAATTTATTTTAAAATTTGTTTAGATTTTATTTAATGTAAATTTTAATACCTGTCGTTGTCCAACACTAAAATATGAACCTTCATCATTTAATTCTGCATCTGAAATATGGAAAGAATACCATTACTTTATTTTTAATTCTACAACTTTGTATATGTATATATATATACTGTATAGCCAAATTATCCAATTTTGTATAATGCTGAAAATTACTTTATTAAAAGAAAACAGATGAGAGTTGATAATTAAAACAGAAATGATGCACAAATTTTATGAATGCCTTTTGAGCATCATTTACTTGGCAAGAACATATTAAATAACTTACAGGAAATAACTCAAGATTGTACTGAATAGCATTTCCAAACATCAATACAAATATCCTTTCTTGGATATTTGAACATAAATTACAATATCAATATATTGTATTTACTCACATATAGGACAAGGTGTGACTTTAAAGATTCAAAATAAACAAAATAAAATTAGAACTGTATTAATAAATCTACTTTTGTTTAATCACAAGTAAAATATCAAATGAACGTTAATGCACACATTGTCCTGCAAAAATTACTGACATTTTAAACTTTAAGGAAAATTCCTGTAAAATCAACAACATAATTTGTTCACATAAAGCTGGACAATCAGGACCTTTCCTTGCCAGTTCTTAACAGTCAAATTCACTCTTCGTCAATTACACTTATGAGTTTCTCCAAATTATGATTTCTGAATAATCATCTGTTTTCACGTGGGAATGGATAAAACTTATAATTCAATTCAAAAGCTTTGCTATTCATCTTTACTCCTGACAATATACTTATGTTTTTAATACAAGAGGGTAAGCATCTGGTAAAAAGTGCAAATACACAGTTCACAAAAATTATTTGCAAAACTGCAAAAAATCTTTTGCTTGCACATATAGGACGACCTAGGAATTTGAAGCTGTGATAAATGAATAAAAATCTCATCTTACATGCAAGTAAATACTTCCTTGACTGCTACAGATTAGGGAAAATATGGCGATTGGCCAAATTTTTACCTTCCTTGATGTTTTGACACTACAGTGGCCCAAAAATGTAAAATATCTCTTACATAATCCTGTACATGTATCTGCATCTATTTTGTATTAAATCCAGGACTGGATGAACCAAAAATTTTGAAACTGCAGAGTTACTTTATCTATGGGACATTGATGCTGCTAAAGGTCAAGGAGATGAAATGTGGAGTCAGACTTCTGAAAGTTTTACTTGTTATTAGCATTTACAATTAGGTACTCATTTGGCTATGTATCTATATATATGTCAGGCTTTGAGTTGTTTAATATACTTAAATGCTTTTTATAATTAGATTTCTAGAAAAAATAATTTTAAAATTGTTTATATACTAGTTATTATATAAATTCTTTATTTAAAGTTAAAACTATATTATCATCAATATATTGTAATTTGACATAATATAAAAATTAACTTTAAAATTTACCTAAGCTTCCAGGCAAACTAATGACTAGATCATACAACTGTGCCACTTTTAAGGCATTCCATAATTCTTCATCTCTATATTGATGATTTGGATCCAAGTTCTCCCTGAAAAAGAATGTAATTCTCTTGAAAGATGAAATAAAAATGTCCCTTTTCTGAAACATTTAGTGATTTGTTATAAAGTACCCACTTTTTTCACCTTATTAGCCAAACATGATCATGGAGCAGAAAAACAAACCACCATTAAAAATTCCAGACTTCCAATCCCACTAGATGATGAGCATGATATTCATCTGAAGATCATGCTCATCATCTAGTGGGTTGGAAGAGAATTCTGTACCACAATTGATGCATATCCTCATCTGGTTCAAAAATACCTATTAATTTTTATTTTATGAGCTAGGTGAGGACATGCACCTGCAAATGGGTAAGGTGAATTCAATGTTGAAAATTGCAAGAACCCAGGCTAGTATTTTTTTTTTGTAATTTCAACAATCTTATAATCTTATTTAATTTTTGAACAAAAATTAAGAGAGAGAATTATTTTATTTTAACAAATTCAATAGAGGAACTTTGCAAGATTTTCCCACTAATCTTCCTTCTAGGGTGGCATTCCAATAAAAACTACTCAGAAGTAGTAGTCTCAACAAAAATTGTGGATTGGACTAACCACCTGCTTCCTGCATAACCTTAGCAAATTATGTCACCAAAATAGCAGGGAGGAATAACCCTGAGGAAAAAAGTCATGAGAAAGTTTGCCTGCCTGTTTTGAAGTATGTGCTCATCCCCGCTGGTCTCCACTGTCAATCTTCTTGATTTCTCACCCTTTCCACCAGACCTTGACTGCTTCAAACTAATGAACAATTGATTGGACAACCATTGTGGATTTTACTCGTATGAACTTTTGGATTCAAGACACTTCACCAAGGCTCCTCCTCTCCAGGACATCCAAGTCAGTCAGTGATTGTCAAACATTATTGAACCAGGTATTTATCAACCTTTGTATGCAACTGTAAAAACACACACACATTTTGACGCACATTGAAATAGAGTGTCTTAATTTTCTTTGTAAATTTTTTATCCACTTGAAAAATAAATATTTGTTGTCTGCTAGTTAAATGTATAGTGGAGTGTGTTATTTCCAGCACACTCTCTTTCAACTCCCGCCTCTGTTCATTCTCTCATATGTGACCGCTTGCATCATAATTATTTGAAAGGTTCCTGTGTGCCTAAATCACAGGTGGTGTCAGTGCTGACTTGAGCATTGCCAACATAATAGTCACAAAATAACAATAAGATTTTTAGATTACAGGAGAGAAATTGAATTCACATTCATTGATAATACTTCTGATAATGAAAATTGATTTTCATCAGATGTTTTTTGATCCTCAAAATTAAAAATACTAATAAGAGAATTATTGAAAATATTAAATACCAATTGAAAGGCCCGATGCAGGCATCGGAGCATACTAAATAGTTAGCATGCATAGCAGTGATAAATAATTAATTACAAATAGTTTACCTAAAGTGCAAAGACATTGTACTAAAACCAACATCCCTACATCCAATTCTCATGAAATATGTATCTTATTAGTATTTTGAAAGTTATTTCCATTATGACTGCAAAGAAATACCATAATATCCCGTCTCCAGTTCAAAACAAAATAATGAAACAAAAAAGCATAACTATGACCTACATCACTATATCCAGGGGTGCACAACCTGTGGCCCGCAGGCCACATACGGCCCCCTATCAATGTTTATGCGGCCCGTGGACGGTACAGGCCAAATCCCTTCTTTCGAAGTTTATAACTTTTTCCCTTTCACAAAGTCATTAGCACCCAACTGTTTTATGACTTTCCCTGAGGTGAGAAGTGGGGGATTGTTCTATAAATAAGTTTATTTCTAGCTAACACTTTCTGGTTTAGATATCGAATATTTTAAAATGATGTTAGAACGTCATTTCCGATGTTATCGGGAAGTTTCTATTTTGGCGGAAAATCTTCAATTTTATGCTTCGGAAAACTTGCCTATTCGTCTAAATAGCGTCAAATAACAAAAATAAGTGAAAATAGCGCTGAAAAACCATGAAAATAACGATTTTTTAGCATTTGTTTACATTCTAGATTCTGATTGGTATAGTCGAATTTGAATCAATCTTTTCTGAAAAGACGNGTCAGCCTTTCATTTTAGGTATCTGACGCCTTTACATTAAAATTAAGTAAATCTTCTCACCAACTGCCAAGTTTTATACCTTCAGTATCAGGTTCAAGCCCTCTAGTGGTGGATACGAGCTATCTTTGATTTGCATGTAGTTACAATTTCATGATGAGCTCAGGATATTTTTCTTCTAATTATTAATTAGAGATTCAGACTATGTACAAAAAATTATTTAATTTTTGAGTCTATCAATTCATCCTTTTTCACACACCACAGAAGTAGCCTTTTACATCGGTTTGAAGAAATCACTTCATAAAAAACGTATAACAATAGGTAAAAACTTACAATTAAAAACGATCAGACGTCAGCCTTTCATTTTAGGTATCTGACGCCTTTACATTAAAATTAAGTAAATCTTCTCACCAACTGCCAAGTTTTATACCTTCAGTATCAGGTTCAAGCCCTCTAGTGGTGGATACGAGCTATCTTTGATTTGCATGTAGTTACAATTTCATGATGAGCTCAGGATATTTTTCTTCTAATTATTAATTAGAGATTCAGACTATGTACAAAAAATTATTTAATTTTTGAGTCTATCAATTCATCCTTTTTCACACACCACAGAAGTAGCCTTTTACATCGGTTTGAAGAAATCACTTCATAAAAAACGTATAACAATAGGTAAAAATTTACAATTAAAAACGATCAGACGTCAGCCTTTCATTTTAGGTATCTGACGCCTTTACATTAAAATTAAGTAAATCTTCTCACCAACTGCCAAGTTTTATACCTTCAGTATCAGGTTCAAGCCCTCTAGTGGTGGATACGAGCTATCTTTGATTTGCATGTAGTTACAATTTCATGATGAGCTCAGGATATTTTTCTTCTAATTATTAATTAGAGATTCAGACTATGTACAAAAAATTATTTAATTTTTGAGTCTATCAATTCATCCTTTTTCACACACCACAGAAGTAGCCTTTTACATCGGTTTGAAGAAATCACTTCATAAAAAACGTATAACAATAGGTAAAAACTTACAATTAAAAATGATCAGACGTCAGCCTTTCATTTTAGGTATCTGACGCCTTTACATTAAAATTAAGTAAATCTTCTCACCAACTGCCAAGTTTTATACCTTCAGTATCAGGTTCAAGCCCTCTAGTGGTGGATACGAGCTATCTTTGATTTGCATGTAATTTGATTTCTGTGGTGTGTAAAAAAGGATGAATTGATAGACTCAAAAATTAAATAATTTTTTGTACATAGTCTGAATCTCTAATTAATAATTAGAACTTTAATGAATTATTTTTCACTCAAAATCATTCCAAAACCATCTAGAACATTCTACAACTTTCCAAACTCCAAATTTGTTTACTTCTCTTGCAAGTGTCTCACCTACTAATGATCATTACTTTATTAATCAACTTTCATTTTATTTTAAAAATTTAAGACTATACAAACAATACATCCTTTTTAATTCCAATCTAGGAATTACAAACAGAAGGCAAGTAAAACTTCTAAAACAGACAAATACTATAAAAAAATTCACAATTAAAAATGATTTTGATGTCGACCTTTTTTTGTAGGATACGACATCTACAAACGTTAAATTTGTAATGTTATATAATCATTTTTAAGCTGAGAGTCCTCTGGTGGATTTTTGGACAATTCAGAAATTATTTACATAATTGTACACATTAGCCCAGATGATGATAGTTATTTTGAAAATTTAAGACTATACAAATATATATGCCTGTTGTTTGTGGTTCCTGGATTGGAATTAAAAAGGATGTAAATATGGAAAAAGGACACATTGTATAGTCTTAAATTTTCAAAATAACTATAAACAATCATCCTGGGCTAATGTGTACAACTTTCATTTTATTATTTAGGATGGAAAGGGTTCAAATAAATTTTTGAAAATAAAGTATTTTCCATAGACATAATGAGTAAAAAAAAAATAGCGATTTTCTTTAACAATGTCCAGTGAGCCAAAAGTTCTAATATTCTAGTACTCTATGTATCTCAGTGTTCTATCATTTACCACAATTTAGTTGAAATCTCACACAATGTTATGAAAAATCCTTGAGAGGACATCCTGTATAGACCTTTTGAAACCATTTAATTTTGAATGTTTTAAATAACTTGAAATATATTTCATAAATAATATAATGTAGTACATAATAGATAGTATTGATTGAGAATAAAAATGATCTGTCAGATTATTTTTTTTAATTGATCAATTGACATAAATAACTTCAAACTTTTGAAAATTTTCAAATCTCCAGAAGAAAAAAGTGAAAATAAAATCTTTTTATTTTAATGTTAGAGTCCAAAATAGCGTTTTAAATGAATTTGAATTTACTGATGATATTGATTTACTACAATTATAAGAAATCACATAGTAGTACAAGTATTCAGGGAGCATGGACTTAAGTGTTAAAAAATCAAAAACAATGACAACCAGCTCAGGCAACCCAAACATATTGGTTGATAAAGAAATCCTGGAAGACCTCAAAACATTCACTTATCTCTGAGGGGATATCAAGATCAGATGTCAAAGCATGTATTGCCAAAGCAAGTATCACACTATAAAAGCTAAAACCACTATGGACTGATCATAAAATACCCATATCCACCAGGATATGGGTATTTTATGATCAGTCCATACCTTTAACATAATTGATACCTTTGTCAAATCAGTACTCCTTTAGGGAAGTGAGAGATGGACTCTCTTAAAGGATGACAAAACCAGATTACTAACCTTTGAAATGAAGTGTTGTAGGAAGCTATTGAAGATACCTTACACAGCACGCACAAAAAAATGAAGAAATAAAAGGAAAAATTCTGAATGCCAGTGGAAATCAATCAAATATTTTAACCAAAATTAAACAGAAACAGATGACAGTTTAGTCATGGTATCAGAGGAAATGGACTAACAAGAAAAGCTTTGGAAGGAGTGACATCAGAAGCAGGCCAAGAACCACATGGACTGAATTGCCAATTGCCTAGCTACGAGATGGTGGGACAGAGACCTGGAAAGAGTGTATCAAGACAGTTTTCTAGGGGTGCACCAATGGTCTTTATAAGACTATGGGAGAAGAAGAAATTGAAATGACACCAATTGATAATTTTTATTAGGAAAACATTTTACTTTAACTAAAAATTTTATATATTTATAAATATTATGCTTAATTCATACCTAACAGTACCAGAAAACAAGACAATATCCTGAGGAATAATTGAAAGTCTTGATCGTAAGACATCTAAAGGTATTTGTTTAATATCCACACCATCAATATAAATATTACCATCAGTGATCAACAGTATGCGGAATATAGCCATGACTAACGACGATTTTCCACTTCCCGTACGACCACAAATTCCTACCTGTAGATACATAAAAGTATATATAATTAATATTTTTACCAAAAAGATTATCTTTCTTTGAAATTAATTGAGCTTAAATAAATCACTATTAAAACTTCTTAAAAATAATTTATAATGAATTTTTCTAAATGTATTATTGCAATATTTTAAGTCAGAAAAACATTGTCTTTCAAGTAAATTTTTAACAAATTATTAATTCTTACTTTTTCACCAGATGCAAAGTTCAGAGATACATTTTTCAACACTGGATCTAAGTTTTCATCATATTTTAGTGTTACATTTTCAAATATTATTTGCCCCTTGTTAGGCCAATCTTTCAACCATGCTATAAGTTCATCTGAAAAAAAAATAACATCAGAAATATTTTTGACTTTGTAAAAGTATTTCATATTTTTGAAACTGAGTTCTATATGTATTATCTAACTTGAAAAATTTTTTAATTAGTGATAATTGAAAATTTTTGTAAAATTAATATTCGGTAACTGTGTTAATGAAATTTTTATCGTCATTAATATTTAGTTTGACATCAAAATTTTATTTTATTATGTTGCAAATTTTTAGGTTTGCTTGCTAAAGTAATACATCTAACTTTTATTTTTATATTACTTTTTTTTAAATATTAAAATTAATATAACAACACTGAATAAACCATTTCAGCTTTCCTTATAATATGAATGATTTCTGTATAGCAATAAACTTATTACAATGAAACATGTTAAAGTAACATTTTTCTAGTTCATTTTTTAAAATTTAATACAGTGCAATCCCAATTTGCAAAGCACATTTTTTCCTAAAAGTCTTTTGTAAACAAGAATGAGCTTCCATTATTTCTTACAGTTGAAATTTGATCATCATTCCAACATACGTTATATAACCAAGTTTTCCAAACAACATTAAAGTGCTATAAAATATAAATTTATCTATCAACCAACTTATTGCAAATGAAATGAAAATGTTAGTTCTTTTTATATTTGTGAATAATCTAATTAATATGAAATCAGAAAAGCAAATACAACATAAATGTCTGATACTTACATATTGACTAATTTTTTTTTTCTTAATATTAAATAAAGTAATAAGCAAAAAGCAAGTAAATACAGTAGAGCCTCAATTATCCGACTCAATTGGGGACTGGGGTTGGTCGGATAATTGAAAAGTCAGATAACCGAAAAGTATGAAAAAGTCCATTATTAGTGTAGTATATTATTATATCCCATGTAATTAGTATATCACTATTAACCTACTTCGCGTTGAATTTTCATTGATGTTAAGCCTAACAAAAATTTTTTAAAATAATAATCGNAACAAAAACAATATTATTGTAAACTTAAGCCTGTATTAAACAAATTATTATATTAATATTTTACATTAAATCTGTTTTTTTATATTTATTTACCATTTTTTACAACTTGCATCTCTTTCTGTTCAATTTAACTAACTCCTCGTTTCCACTTCTTTTGATTGTTCTTTTTATCTTTCAGACACATGCATTTCTCTACCAGTATTACTATTTATTCTGTTATTTTGTCTAATTATATTAATATGTTCATAAAGTTGTTTTTTGTAATTATTCTTTTCTTTTTTCCTTATTTTTATTGAATTTAATACTATTTTGCAGCCTGTGGTATTACAGTGCTCTGCTACTACTGAATTTGCATAATTTCTCTTGATTGCTCAGATGTGTTCATTTATTCTTATTTTTAGTTTTATTTTCGTTTCCCCTATATATATTTTTTCTGGTTTACCTTTAATTGTAATTGTAAACCAGAAAAAATATATATAGGGGAAACGAAAAGAAAACGTTTGTGAATAAGACCAATAATTTAATAATAATATTTTAACATTATCTCCTGTAGGTTATTTGCCTTTTCTTCCTTAAGTCAGATCTATCTTGAATTTCACTATCCTCCCAGAACTACATAGCATAAATGACCATCTTTTATAGGTTGGTATTTGGACAAGATCTATCAAAAAACTTTTATCCCACAATATGTTTCAGCTTTTCAAAAGTTTACTAAAAAAAATTAATGTAAGACTCCCATTATTGCTTGTTTTATAATGATCACTAAAATTTTCAGAAGTTAGAAAGTTCTTTTTATCTGTGGTAAAATATCTCAAAAGACATTTATTTAATCCTTCAGATCCTGTCAGATTCATAACAGTCTGCAGATGAAAAACTTTGTTATAGAAAAAACTGTTTAAAAATGTTGCTTATGATCTACCAATTTTTTTTATTTCAGTTGACAAGTTAATATCTAGCTCAAGGTGTCATCCAGACTTGGAGCACTAATTTATCTGGTAAGATGTATTAGATATAAATCAATCATGCAAATATGTCAGCTTTCCATCATGAGAGATCTAAAATGAAGTCTTACACATGATTCTCCCAACCCTATTATGTATGATAATTCATTTTTTATCTCCTCCTGTAGCCAGCCATATAATGAGAGATCCAATTTCACACACCATCTTTCATGCCACAAATTGACAAATCAGTAAAAAAAAATAACTTAACTTACAGCTATTGTTAAGACAGTGCAGTCGGCGCAATTGGAAGCTACAACTTTCTGCAAAACTTGATCAGTTTCTGGATCTAACGATGACGTTGCTTCGTCCATTATTAAAATTTTCGACTTTTTTAAAATAGCTCGAGCCAAACAGAATAGCTAGAATATTTAAAGTAAAAGTAAATTTGTAATTTATTTTAAAATTTGTTTAGATTTTATTTAATGTAAATTTTAATACCTGTCGTTGTCCAACACTAAAATATGAACCTTCATCATTTAATTCTGCATCTGAAATATGGAAAGAATACCATTACTTTATTTTTAATTCTACAACTTTGTATATGTATATATATATACTGTATAGCCAAATTATCCAATTTTGTATAATGCTGAAAATTACTTTATTAAAAGAAAACAGATGAGAGTTGATAATTAAAACAGAAATGATGCACAAATTTTATGAATGCCTTTTGAGCATCATTTACTTGGCAAGAACATATTAAATAACTTACAGGAAATAACTCAAGATTGTACTGAATAGCATTTCCAAACATCAATACAAATATCCTTTCTTGGATATTTGAACATAAATTACAATATCAATATATTGTATTTACTCACATATAGGACAAGGTGTGACTTTAAAGATTCAAAATAAACAAAATAAAATTAGAACTGTATTAATAAATCTACTTTTGTTTAATCACAAGTAAAATATCAAATGAACGTTAATGCACACATTGTCCTGCAAAAATTACTGACATTTTAAACTTTAAGGAAAATTCCTGTAAAATCAACAACATAATTTGTTCACGTAAAGCTGGACAATCAGGACCTTTCCTTGCCAGTTCTTAACAGTCAAATTCACTCTTCGTCAATTACACTTATGAGTTTCTCCAAATTATGATTTCTGAATAATCATCTGTTTTCACGTGGGAATGGATAAAACTTATAATTCAATTCAAAAGCTTTGCTATTCATCTTTACTCCTGACAATATACTTATGTTTTTAATACAAGAGGGTAAGCATCTGGTAAAAAGTGCAAATACACAGTTCACAAAAATTATTTGCAAAACTGCAAAAAATCTTTTGCTTGCACATATAGGACGACCTAGGAATTTGAAGCTGTGATAAATGAATAAAAATCTCATCTTACATGCAAGTAAATACTTCCTTGACTGCTACAGATTAGGGAAAATATGGCGATTGGCCAAATTTTTACCTTCCTTGATGTTTTGACACTACAGTGGCCCAAAAATGTAAAATATCTCTTACATAATCCTGTACATGTATCTGCATCTATTTTGTATTAAATCCAGGACTGGATGAACCAAAAATTTTGAAACTGCAGAGTTACTTTATCTATGGGACATTGATGCTGCTAAAGGTCAAGGAGATGAAATGTGGAGTCAGACTTCTGAAAGTTTTACTTGTTATTAGCATTTACAATTAGGTACTCATTTGGCTATGTATCTATATATATGTCAGGCTTTGAGTTGTTTAATATACTTAAATGCTTTTTATAATTAGATTTCTAGAAAAAATAATTTTAAAATTGTTTATATACTAGTTATTATATAAATTCTTTATTTAAAGTTAAAACTATATTATCATCAATATATTGTAATTTGACATAATATAAAAATTAACTTTAAAATTTACCTAAGCTTCCAGGCAAACTAATGACTAGATCATACAACTGTGCCACTTTTAAGGCATTCCATAATTCTTCATCTCTATATTGATGATTTGGATCCAAGTTCTCCCTGAAAAAGAATGTAATTCTCTTGAAAGATGAAATAAAAATGTCCCTTTTCTGAAACATTTAGTGATTTGTTATAAAGTACCCACTTTTTTCACCTTATTAGCCAAACATGATCATGGAGCAGAAAAACAAACCACCATTAAAAATTCCAGACTTCCAATCCCACTAGATGATGAGCATGATATTCATCTGAAGATCATGCTCATCATCTAGTGGGTTGGAAGAGAATTCTGTACCACAATTGATGCATATCCTCATCTGGTTCAAAAATACCTATTAATTTTTATTTTATGAGCTAGGTGAGGACATGCACCTGCAAATGGGTAAGGTGAATTCAATGTTGAAAATTGCAAGAACCCAGGCTAGTATTTTTTTTTTGTAATTTCAACAATCTTATAATCTTATTTAATTTTTGAACAAAAATTAAGAGAGAGAATTATTTTATTTTAACAAATTCAATAGAGGAACTTTGCAAGATTTTCCCACTAATCTTCCTTCTAGGGTGGCATTCCAATAAAAACTACTCAGAAGTAGTAGTCTCAACAAAAATTGTGGATTGGACTAACCACCTGCTTCCTGCATAACCTTAGCAAATTATGTCACCAAAATAGCAGGGAGGAATAACCCTGAGGAAAAAAGTCATGAGAAAGTTTGCCTGCCTGTTTTGAAGTATGTGCTCATCCCCGCTGGTCTCCACTGTCAATCTTCTTGATTTCTCACCCTTTCCACCAGACCTTGACTGCTTCAAACTAATGAACAATTGATTGGACAACCATTGTGGATTTTACTCGTATGAACTTTTGGATTCAAGACACTTCACCAAGGCTCCTCCTCTCCAGGACATCCAAGTCAGTCAGTGATTGTCAAACATTATTGAACCAGGTATTTATCAACCTTTGTATGCAACTGTAAAAACACACACACATTTTGACGCACATTGAAATAGAGTGTCTTAATTTTCTTTGTAAATTTTTTATCCACTTGAAAAATAAATATTTGTTGTCTGCTAGTTAAATGTATAGTGGAGTGTGTTATTTCCAGCACACTCTCTTTCAACTCCCGCCTCTGTTCATTCTCTCATATGTGACCGCTTGCATCATAATTATTTGAAAGGTTCCTGTGTGCCTAAATCACAGGTGGTGTCAGTGCTGACTTGAGCATTGCCAACATAATAGTCACAAAATAACAATAAGATTTTTAGATTACAGGAGAGAAATTGAATTCACATTCATTGATAATACTTCTGATAATGAAAATTGATTTTCATCAGATGTTTTTTGATCCTCAAAATTAAAAATACTAATAAGAGAATTATTGAAAATATTAAATACCAATTGAAAGGCCCGATGCAGGCATCGGAGCATACTAAATAGTTAGCATGCATAGCAGTGATAAATAATTAATTACAAATAGTTTACCTAAAGTGCAAAGACATTGTACTAAAACCAACATCCCTACATCCAATTCTCATGAAATATGTATCTTATTAGTATTTTGAAAGTTATTTCCATTATGACTGCAAAGAAATACCATAATATCCCGTCTCCAGTTCAAAACAAAATAATGAAACAAAAAAGCATAACTATGACCTACATCACTATATCCAGGGGTGCACAACCTGTGGCCCGCAGGCCACATACGGCCCCCTATCAATGTTTATGCGGCCCGTGGACGGTACAGGCCAAATCCCTTCTTTCGAAGTTTATAACTTTTTCCCTTTCACAAAGTCATTAGCACCCAACTGTTTTATGACTTTCCCTGAGGTGAGAAGTGGGGGATTGTTCTATAAATAAGTTTATTTCTAGCTAACACTTTCTGGTTTAGATATCGAATATTTTAAAATGATGTTAGAACGTCATTTCCGATGTTATCGGGAAGTTTCTATTTTGGCGGAAAATCTTCAATTTTATGCTTCGGAAAACTTGCCTATTCGTCTAAATAGCGTCAAATAACAAAAATAAGTGAAAATAGCGCTGAAAAACCATGAAAATAACGATTTTTTAGCATTTGTTTACATTCTAGATTCTGATTGGTATAGTCGAATTTGAATCAATCTTTTCTGAAAAGACGCTTATTCGTCAACCTAATGTCATTCAAACTAGAAAAAAACTAACCAGAGTTCAAAAAGGAATGTACAAAAAGCTATAAAACCAATAATTTACAACAATATCTCTCCATAGACAAAGAATAGAAAAAAAATTTTTCACATCAAATTTATTATTATTAAGTTGGACCAAGAAAATTAATACTGTAGTTGGAATAGAGTCATTACGACTAAAAGGAAGCCATTTGCATTAAAATATTTTGGATTTAATAATTATTACAAACCGCGTCAAGCCATAAACTTGTCAACAAAGAGGGTTGTAAAATGATTCCGTGTAGCTAGAAAGCTGCGGTTTTTTTTGTTTGAAAGAAAACAGATATATTTAGGTTATTTAAGTAGTAAATTAATTGGAACTTTTTATTTACTTTTATTTTTACATTCTTTTTTTCGTAAATTTAAAATTAAATTATTATTTTTAATTTTTATTTTATTTGAAATTTAACAGTCGTAAACTGTGATATATTTAGGACAGAAAAAAAAAAAAAATTGATTCTAGCGCCAATTTGAAACGAGATATCGCAATTTTAATAATTATATTTAAAATATTCAGATTTTCCACTGCACTGTGTTAATCACTTTTGATTCATTTCTGAACACGGGGGTAAAACTGACGGGCCATAAATATAATTTAGGTAAGAATGGTAACCACATTTATGATGGATTAGTGTCCTGCACCTGGCATGTTGACGATCTGACTCACAAATTCTGAGAAATGGTGGAGACGCCCGGACAGGGGTCGAACGAATTAAGACCTGCCTGGCCACGTGTGCGTAATAGTCTTCTGTCCCTGCCTCTTTAGTCTTTGGTCAGAGTGGATACAGAACAAAGCACGTGGTAGTCTAGCTTGCCTTATCTCAAACATGATTTGTTGCGGGCCTCAGAATTTTCGGCACAATGAGACATTGTTTTGCAGAGTGAACAGTATGGCGCCGGGCATTAAACGCAAGGTCAATCGCGAGAATCATCAGTTTCAAGAAGTGGAAGTGTGGACTAACAAGTACTGTTTTGTGCAACAGAACAACAGCATTATTTGCCTTTTGTGCAATGGAACAATAGCAGTGCCAAAAGAATTCAACCTGAAGCGACATCATGAAAGCCAACACAAGGATTTCCTTCTGCAAGGTACGGAACGCAAACGGAAAATCGAATCGTTACGACGATCACTAATCAGCCAACAAAATGTGTTCAAGAAACAATCTGGAGAATTGGATGCGGCTGTTGAAGCCAGCCTAGAAATATCTGCTTTAATAGCCAAGAATGGGAAACCTTTCACAGATGGCGATATGATAAAAAAGTGTCTTATCATCGCAAGTGAGATGTGTCCTGAGAAGACAGTGTTTTCAAACAATCAGTCTTAACCACATGACGATACAACAAAGAATCTCGCAAATTGCATCAGACATCGCATTAATCACTTGGAGGTCCGGCCCCCAGTCAATAAACTTAATCCTAATTTGGCCCTTCTTCAAAAAAGGTTGTGCATCCCTGATTAAAATATGTAAATAATCAATTAAATGTATGAATAAATAATTTCATATGATATGATGCATACATATACTGCTTCCCACATACAGTATGTCCTTTATGTATTTATTTATACTTGAAAATTTGTTCAGATATGTTTAAATTACAGAAATGATGATGATAATATTACAGAAAGATAAGAGATAGATATCTAGTATTGTAAAAATACTGCAAAGAATGTAAACTGAAATAATTTAAAATGAAGCATAAGAATAACATTTCTCAATTGTTAAAATTTTTAAAAATACCAAGTTTACCATTTAGCAGTCCTTGAATATTATAACTAATTTTCTAAAAACATTTAACCTTGAGATGCAATATAAAATGAGTATTTGAGAGCAAAATATTTTTTAAAATAAAACCCAAGGCCATATTAAATTCCAAAAACAAAAGATAAAAATGATTTTGTACTATACATTGAAAAAAAAACCTATATTTTAGTCTGTTTAAATTATGTTGAGAGGTCTACTATCAAACCCCATTTATAGAGTCAAAAACTCAAATGGTGTTAGCGAAATCCTCTCATTGATATTGCACAAATTCTACACCAATACTCTTTTTACAGAATACAGGCTCTAGTGTGTGCAATTAATTTATTAAAACAAATTTTCTATATATATCAAAGCAAAAACTCATGTATTCTTACAGATTTAATTAGCTAAGTCACCTGTTTTATCATGCTAATTTAAAGAATATTTCAGTATATTTATGAAAAATGTTTCAAATTTATACATTTCAATGTTGATATTTTTCAATATTCTTCAAATTTCAAAAACACTGATTTAATTACAGCAAAACAGATTTGTATTTTCCATTCACACTATTGGGCTATTTTGACTTAATTATCCAGCCGTATTAAAACCATCTTAGCAGGCAACATGCCCAATACTGAAGAGAGAAATTGTAACAAAAATGTTATAGTGAAATGAAAATTGCTGGAATTCTATTACATCAGAACTAACAGAAAAGGATTGTTAAAAGTACATAATATGTTCATATGACAAAAATGTTATGGTGGGTTCTTATGAAGGTTGGGTCAGGAAAAATTAAGTTTGTTGTTATGAAGTTTCTCATAATGAGATTCACTGTAACAAATTTTAACTAAAAAAGCCTGCACTTAAATGTATTGAAATCTTAATCACATTTGAAGTACAGTACATATAGTTGTTTCAAGCACAAACAGGAAAGTATCTTTGTAATAAATGAAATTAACATGTAGAAAAGTTATATTTTTATGTAGTAATTTTTTGGAATGAAGTCTAAATATAATAGTAGTAATAAATTTATTACTAATCTCTTATATTTAAGCACTATTCTAAAAATCCATTATAATAAAAATAACACTTTTCTCTTTTAGAAATCATTCTTAGAGGCCAGTCATGATCAATTAACATATTGGTACAATGGATTATATCAACAAAATGAACAAGTAAAACGGCAAAACCATATTTGGGACAAGACTATGCCTCGGAGACAGAATCACTTTGATGCTCAAGGCAGGTCTCATTCTTATTCTCCTATCTTCTTTGAAATCGCTGCTTTTGGGCACGATCGTTCAAACTTCGCTGGCCACGACCACATCCACGATGCATCTTCAATGAAATTAACCTATCTAATTTCAAAATTTCTCTCCCAGGTTAAATTTTTGTCGATGCGTAACGAAAAGTTCCCATTTTTGAAAAAAATAACCGTGGCTATTGTATCGTCCAAAATTATTATTTTTGAAATATTTTGCACAAACAATATACAGTTTAACCCAATTATAATGTCATCGGACGTAACGACAACCCTAATATAATGTCAAATTTTTATTGGTCCTACGATTTTACTACACTAGATAATGTTTAAAAAACCCACTTGTAATGACATAAAACAGTTTTAACGTCATATTTGAAGCACTCCCAAATTTACAAAATTAGATTACAAATTTTATTTAACATAGAAGAAGCTACATGTTCGGTCCTAAGGTCAGAGTTCACTTCTTAGAATGACTGTGGGTGATACTCTCCCCTACCTGACTTTGGTGGGGTGAAGTGGCTTTTTGCCTGTTTGTAGAAAAGGGTCGCCATTTTGGATTTTATTTTGATTCGATTCTCGGTCTCCTGACTACTTATGAGTCTGGATTTTTTTATGCGCAAATGATTTGGGCACCCAATACTCTGTGCCAAATATCAACTCTACATGTACTCCTTCATACCTCTATGCTGATAAGAACATGAGGTAGTACAATTTTATAAACAAGACATAGTCTTGTCAAAAACTAAGTTTTAAGTTATTCTTTGTCAAGAATTAATTATAATGAAGAAAATGAATCCATTTATTCTTTCTCTCTAAATGAATTTACAGTAGAGCGTCGATTATCTGAATCAATTGGGGACTGGGTTTGTTCGGAAAATCAATATTTCAGATAACCGATTATGTACGAAAAAATATATTAACCTATCCCATGTTGAAATTTTTCTCTGTTGCATGTTGCTTTGCGTTGAATTTTCGTCAATGTCAAGCCTAATGAAGACTATTGTATCGTTAAAAATTATTTTTTTTATTTTGTACAAACAAAATAAATATATTGAAAAATATAAAAACAATAGAAAATTATACTTCAGAAGTTAATTTAGTATCAAAGACGTAAAATATTTGAGTAGCCCAAGACATAGCCAAAGATTGCAGCACCACAGCACTGGCGAAAATTTAAATTCGCCGACTGGAATTCTTTCGGATAATCGATGCTCTACTGTATTTTTGAATCAAAGTCAGTTATAATACATGTTAAAGCATTGCATATTGCCACATAAGGAGATGATAATATTTACTGTTTAATTTCTAGAATGTGGAGGGTGAGAACTAAGATATGAACTTAGTTTTGTAAATAGATTTGTAAAAGATAAAACTAACTGCTTTCACATGTTTTTACTTACAGCAAAATTGGAAAACATTTCTGTTTTATGTTATTAAATCAATATTTTTGCAAATTAGTTTAGATTTAAATGTGTGCTATTTTAATTTATTGTGTGATTTTGGGAATACAGTAGAGCATCGATTATCTGACTCAATTGGGGACTGGGGTTGGTCGGATAACTGAAAAAATGGATAACCAAAAAATATGAAAAAATACATTATTAGTATAGTATATTAGTATATCTCATGTAATTAGTATATCGCTATTAACCTACTTCGCATTGAATTTTCATCGATGTTAAGCCTAACAAAAATTTTTTTAAAATAATAATCGTCGCTATTGTATCGTTAAAAATTAGAAAATTAAGCCTCGTTTAAATACTGGCTCCCTTTCATGGTCGAATGAGTGTTGCCAACTAAAACACGTAAAAATAATATTAAAGTAGCCAAGACATAGTCAAATATTGTAACGCCACATCACTAGCGGACATTTGAAATTTGCCGACTAGGGCGGTTGGTTAATCGGGGGTTGGATAATCGAGGCTCTACTGTAGATAGAGTTTTATCTCTATAATTCATAATCATCTATTGGTGAGTAAAATTTACCAAGCCAAAAACTGTGAGAATGAATAGCACTACTACTAGTGAAAGAAGACCCAACGTGAATGAAACAAAGAAAATGGAGTCTATGAACCATCCAATCAAGAGGCAAGAAAATTGAAATTTTCACACACTTTGATTTAAAATATTTTGTTCTCTTAAATATATTAATTGCACTCATTGCATTGAATGTTTTGTTTCATAAACCAGGAAGATGGAAGATGGATAAAAGTTTGGAGAGAAATACATACAAGAATTTGATACAAGCCATATCAAATGAGAATTTGATATGGCTTGTATCAAATTCTCATATATGGAGTACTTGTAAATTAGGTTCACATTGTGTATTATTTTCTGAAAACTTATTTGGCATCAGGCTTACATACTGTAATGAATGTAAGAAAAATCTAAGTATAAAAAAAATTAAAACTTTTCTCTGGATGGTGTTTAAGCAGTGAAAACGACAACTGCTTTTCCAACAGATTTGTCTTCAATTTTAATTTTAAAAATATATAAATATTCACTCTTATTAGTTTTTAATACATTCAATTCATTTTGTATATATGAAGAAAATTTAGCTTATATTTGTGTAGAATATATAAATAAACATATTATGAATACAAATTTCATATTGATAATCACACTAGTTTGTGAATAGTTTATCCATCCTATATTTATATGATATTTGTGGTATTACTAGTAAATACCCTTACAATTTATAACACAGTAGCTTAATAATGCTGTAAAGAAACAAATTACTTATTATAATACCTTTACGTAAACTGTTGCCTCGTCTATAATCTTCTGTCGTTAACTGAGAATATTCTTTTACACGTTCGACAGCATTCATATACATTTCAACACTAGCCAGATTGCGTACAACCCAATTAAGATAAATTGGAACCTAAATAACAGATATACAGATATAAAATACAATTCATACTTTCAATAATATATATTAATTTAATAAAATGTATAATTTACTAACCAAAAGAGTATAAGTCATTGCCATACCCACAAATGCCGAAGAAACTTTATTGGTTATTGCTGCAGTTAATGCAGCTATTGTTGCTACAAATAAAATAATTCCTCCTAAATAATCCTAATTTAATGAAAATAACATAATAAAAATCCATATAAAATTTTAAAATAATAATTTTCAAATATTGAAAAGATTGATAGTTGACTAATTAAAAAATAATAAATTTGAATTATCTTGCTAATATATTTTTTATTTTAAAAGTTATTATCAATTGTATATATTAGGAATGAATGAATTTGAATCTTTATAATGTTAAATTACTGCTTTTAATAGAATTTTTCTATTCTTATTTCAATACCTTATTCAGAAATGTCAAATCAAACATAAGGAAATGATAAGCACACATTATCAATATAATTATTAACTTAAGACCACATTTTAAATTATTGTTATAATATTTAGTATTTATAATTATTCAATGCTATTCTCATTTAAATGCAAGCAGTTTTTTAAATCTTAAATACTGTAAGAGATAACTGCAGTTGACCATTAAAATATTCAAAATTTAAAAAGATATCTTATGCTGCTATTACTAATAAATCTGGTAGTAAATTATATGCTTATATTGAGATTTTTTTTCTGGTTTAAAATGTTGAGTAATAAAGAGATTGACAAAACACAAATACAGTAAAACCTCGATTATCCGAACTAATTGGGGATGGAGGTAGTCCGGATAAGGAAAAATTCGGATAATTGAAACAAATACTTTAATTTGTTTTTTAATGATAATACAACACGTTTTCTTTTCGATGACATATCGGTAATATTAAAAGTAAATACTGTATTTAAATCGTGATCAAATTTTCAAGAAACAAACGTTCATATTGAATTTGGACTACTACTGACCAACGCTAACAGACTACCTATTGTTTAATTAAAAGGCCCTATGGTAGCGCAAGAAGACGGATTTTATAAAATAAAAAGCAGTTGAAACTGCATTTTTATGAATAAAAATTTGACAAACTATTTATCGTTTTATGACAAGTAAAACTTTTTCGTCGCGTTCGTGGCTTTTGAGTAATGAATAAACCTTTGAGGCGCGAGACCCCCTCGGACCGCGAGGCATAGGTGAGGGCCCACGTTGCCCACATGCCGCCCTTGGTCATAGAAATGATGTAATTTGAATATAAATTATTTATAAATATGTATGTCAAGTTATATTTTTATTATGACGCAAAATATATTTAAGAGTTTATGACCACTGTGCTGGGTGAGACGTTGTTGAAACAAAAAAAGTTATGCATTCCATCACGTACATAAACAGTATCGTAATTCGCCAAGTGCAAATCAGCAAATTTGTAAAATTTTTGTTTATTTTGAACAATCCAGATAATAGAGGTTCTACTGTATTTGAAATATACAGATATTTCTCACATTGTGATTAAATGGTTCCAAGAAAGTATCATATAAGTGAAATTGTATAAATCAAAATGACTTTTACATGGACTGCATAGGAATGGGTTCTCAAAATGAAAAATAACTATTTAAAATTTAGAAATGTAATAATTAGAGAAAAGTAAATACATCTGCAATAGTAATTTAATCAAAATTATGAATTATGAATTAACTGATATAAGAACTAAGTCTGAATTCTTTTCCTCAATCCTTTGAAGGTTTTGGATCTATAGAGTGACAATTCTCAACTCTATATGGAGATAAACTGGTCATAAAATCAAGGTCTACTATGATTAAAAAATTTGTGATTCTTCAGATTCTGCAACTGGGAATGACTTAATACAACACCACTGCATATATGTTAGTTGAATCATAGATACAAGCACAAGATAATTTAATTCACAGTCTATTTTGATTCTTTGAAATTGCATTAAAGCAAAATTGTATTAAATGATATCATATACAGGGTGTTTAAATAGTGCGGTTTTAAAAATGAATAATAAATCTATTTATTACCTTGTATGGGCAAACCTTACAGCATAAGCAGCGGCAACTGTCCAAGTTTTTATGTGCTACCTTCTTCTCTTGTCGTGCAGTGCAGACTATCATGGAGGACATGCTACACCGCGTATGGGAAGAATTTGATTACCATGTAGATGTGTGACATGTGACCATGGGTGCTCATATTGAAGGATTGTGATTAATGCATAAAAAACTTGGACAGTTGCCACTGATTTTGCTGTAAGGTTTGCCCATATAAGATAATAAATAGATTTATTATTAATTTTTAAAACTGCACCATTCATTTATAAACACCCTGTATAATGAGAGAAACTTATAGATATTTCCTAAACTAATTTTATAGGGTACAGTAATTTTTTTTCCACCATGAAATGGTAATAATTACAATTTTATAAATGATTTGATTGTTATTAAGTCAGAATAATCATTTTCTTATTTTGGCTAAACTGTTTTATCTTAAAAAAAGATGAAATGGCAAGTTTTTAAAACTCAAGCAAATTTATATTGTAAAGGCTTAACTTTTTACAACTTCAAAAATTTTAAATATATCTTCTTAATATAAGCTATTAAAAAATTATTAATAGATTTACTTACTAATGCTATTCCTAGCCAACAGTTGGCAGAATTTACCATAATAAGTGCAGCATTATTGTTATTAATAGCATATGTTAACATTTCATTAAATCGTTTTTCTTCTCTAAATACAAATAAATTATTATATAATAAATGAAAATCATCATGAATAAGAAATTTTTATTTCTTTTATGTCAAGAAATAATGCTATAATATACTTTACCTGTAAGCTCTTATTGTAGTAAGGCCAGATATAGTTTCGGAAAAATGAGAGAAAACTGGTGATTTTGTAATACTATCAAGTCGCTGTAATTCTCTAAATAAAATATCATCATCTTTTAATCATGATAAAACAAAGAATGTTTTTGATATTTATAAGAATAGTTAAACTAATTACAAAATTTTTACATGTATAACTCATAGGCTTTCTGTGTTTAAAAGACAATTTGAAAGGACTCAGTTATATGATGGGAAGAGTTATATGCCAATTTTAAATTATAATCATAAACTCACTACTTCCATAGATCCAGAATATATGGTAGAGTATATTTTGTAAAAGATTATTTTTTGTTCTATTATTTTTTCTGCAGGGCATACACCATTGAAAGTTAAATATTGCTGTGGGTTATATTCATAAAAATATGGTAATATAATATTAATTAAACTTAACTATACTTTATTATAATTCAAATGCATTCTCTTTTATTTTATACATTAATTACTAAACAGGATTTTAGTATTTTTAATTACATTAAACTATTACTTCTATACCAAAAATTTTGTTTTTATTAATTTTACAAAAAAATTAAATTAAGAGACTATACTATACCTTGAAGAAAATCGAAAATAGTGTTGAATAAAATAATATATTGCCATTATAGGAACAACTGCAGCCAAAAAATATGGAGTGACCACCACATCGACAATAATAGCAGAAATGCATAATAATAGAAATCGTAATAAAACTGGCAGAGTAACTGGGAGTTTCTGAAAAAGATGCACATTTACATAAAATTAGCATTATACCTTTTTTAAAGAATAAGTTGTTTTAAATAAGTATTTTTAATAAAAAAAATCTAATAATTTATTTATAATTATTTACAATATAATTACATTAAATAAAACAATTATTTAAAGAAACCTGATGCACCAATCTTATTAAAATAACTTTGTACAGGTGATCTAGCCACTGTAATTAATTAATGCATCTCTAACAGTGGTGAAATTTAAAAAATGCTCTTTTTTTCGGTCTGATTAACAAGCCATCCTTAGGCATGGACAGCTAAAAGTGGAATAGTGTTGCAAGGTAAAAATATGAGATCAACACCATTTATTCTATTGGTGTCAATCCCACCTTCCTTCCATCCAACACTATTCTTTCACTGAAAATATGTGCATCTTTTAAATTTCACCCTGTTAAAGGTGCATTAATTAAGCTAGATAACTTTGTACTTCTTGCAAAACTTTTACATTGATTGGATGTTGTTAATTTCAGAAGATAAAATTATATTTTATGGAATAATGTATCTAGATGTTTAATTTATTATATTAAACAATTTTCTGAAAATAAAATCTAATTACCTTATCAATAGTATTCATATCAGAGGAAAACCGATTTAAAATTCTACCAATTGGAGTCGTATCAAAGAATCTGTACAACAAAAAATATACAATTCATTCAATATACTATTAGATACAACCACAAGATAATTTAATTCACAGTCTATTTTGATTCTTTGAAATTGCATTAAAGCAAAATTGTATTAAATGATATCATATACAGGGTGTTTAAATAGTGCNGTTAAATATAATGATTCTATATTTAATCATGAGGTAACTGTAAAAACTTTTTTTATATAAAATCAATTTCGGACCAATAATATTTAGATTGTTCTTTAGTGATAAAAAGAAATTTTACTAATATTTATTTAAACAATAGACTTAGGGACCAATGAAACATTTTGATTTCATAAAAGATGTATAAAAGTGTTATATCAGCTGTTAAATATAATGATTCTATATTTAATCATGAGGTAACTGTAAAAACTTTTTTTATATAAAATCAATTTCGGACCAATAATATTTAGATTGTTCTCTGATGATTACAGAATATTTTACAAAACTATACAACTATTCCAAAAATGTTCAAAAATTTGTAACTCAATGTTTATTTTACATTCAATCAGCATTTTTTTTACAATATTTTTAAACTGAAAAGGTTGACTTTAAAATTTAATGAAAGTATTTGGCAAAAATATGTAAATTTTGAAAAATACTTTTTAGAATTATTATAACTCCTAAATATAATTTTGTTACCATTACTTGCATACCATTACTTGATGTGTATAAGTTTTAATCAAGTGAATCCACAATTCATCAATTATTTAATCCTATATTTAGATGACTTTTAGACAATACTTTTCCATCACAAATTATTAAATTAACAATACTTTAATACATCATTACAAAATTAAAAGTATTAATACGGAGTGTTCAGTTATTTATAACAAAAGAAACTAGAAATACTAAGAGATAGAAATACATATTTCTGAGGGACAATTTAAATTTAACATTTATGTATAGGAAAACTGATCTGAAAATGATATCCAACAGAAGATAGCAAATATATATAAATATATTATATATCTATATTATACATATATAAATACACATATACAAAAATATAAAAAAATGCTTATTAATTTAAAAACTTATTAATTATATATTAATTTTTATAATTTATTTTCATTAGTGAAGTCTAAGAACTAAAACTTAAATTTGATTTTTTTTATCATTTATATATACACACCTCATAGGACAATGTATGATATTGTTTAACATTTGAGAAAAAAGAACTTTCACAGCTCGTATGGAGGTCAACTGTGCTGCCAAGTTCGTTATAAGAGAAAGTAAAATGCCTACACCAGATAAAAGAGCGTAGACAGCAACATATTTCTTAATATTAGGATCCTAAAATACAGAAAATTTTAATCAATTATTTAAAAGTAAATATGCAATAATAAAATTTCTGTAAAACTAAATACAACTATTAAAATATATACAGATTTCTTACATTTTCTATCGTAGTATTTGAATACGATAATTCAGACCATTTTGATAACCAAAAGTCAGCTCCTATTTTTACAGCTTGAGTGCTAATTATTAATATAATAACAAGGATAGCTAAAGAAAGTGAACAAGCTTTCATAAACATCAAATAAACTTTCTTTGATATTTTTCCTCTTTCTCTTTCTTCTTCTTTTATCAATTTTCCACAAGACATATCTTCTAATTTTTCTTCACTTCCAGATTCTATAAAAAGTAAATTTCATTTCAGCAATATAATTTTGCTTTTTATTGATTAAGGTAATTATGGGATTGCTAACATTAGCCTCTGATTGAAAAATGTATTGACATTAAACAAATTATTGATATATTTGCAAATGTCCAGTTCCAAAGGTAACCACCAATTAATGATTACTGTTCGAACCACTAATCCAGTCAGTGGTGATTACTGATTGGACTGGACATTTGTAAATATAAATTATTGTTAATAATGTATTTGAAAATTTAACTTTATTGTACTGAAAAACAAAAAGAAAATTTTAAACATTTTCAATTACTGTATTTCCTTGATTAAAATGATGGCTACTAGGCTAAAGCCTAGTAACCATCATCAGTTAAATGATGGCTACTAGGCTAAAGCCTAGTAGCCATCATTTAACTCAAGTAAGAGTAACTTTCTGAGAGAAGAAATCTCATAGTAAGAGTGACGTTCTGAGAGAAGAAATCTCATAGTAAAAGTGACTTTCTGAGAGAAGAAATCTCAGAAACTTACTATCCGAGAGAAAAAATCTTGAGGGTACAATGAGTAGTGGACAAAGTTCTGAAAACACTCAGATAGCTACTCTGTCTTACTGTACAGAGAGTAGTCAACTCTCAAGTGGACACATCTGAATCTTCCTCTCAGTGATTCATACAGTTCAAATCTAGTTTGTATAGCTGCAAGTACTCTCAGACATTATGGTTGAAATGATGCAGTTTTAAAAATAAAAAAAAATTGCAAAGAATTGTAAGAATAAATATTTTTAATCTATTGCATATTTTCAGCAGTTTAAATTTTAAATTATTTACATATTCATTGCTTAATTATGTATCATAAATATGATATATAATTAAGCAACGAATTTGTAAAAATATTAATGAAATAAATGTATTAAAGAACTATCATAATAATCAATCAGATAAAAATTTCATTCAAAAATTTAATTAAATTTAAATGAGGTTTTTTTTTCAATTTATTCACTTAATGTTTCATTTAAAACTTACCATCTTGAAGTTGTTGTTCTTCTTCCTCTTCTATCATTTCTTCAGTATGAACTGATATACGAGAATTTAAACGCATCGGAGTCTTCCATGGATGCCTGTAAATTCCAACGGAACTAGTACTTGATCGAGATCTCAAGCTATCAGTCGATAAAACACTTTTAATTAGATTAGTACTAGACTGTTCAGAATTACGAATAGAAGGTATAGGATCATCGTGATCACCGCAATCGTGACACGGAAGAGGACTAGATGGATCGTGAGATAGCTGACGACTAAGTGAAACAAGTCTTGCACGTGGACGAATTTCCTAAATATATAAAAATTGCTTAAAATAAAATAACAGTTAATGAATTTATTATATTCAAAAAATTTCCATCCATTTGATTTACTAACAATATAAGATTTTATTAAGATATTTAAAAAAAATGTCTTTTTAAGACCCTATTATTTCAATCTAATTTTTTATAAATTTTTCCAACACATTTACTTTAAAATAAATATTAAATTAAAAATACCTGTGTTGATGTTGCTCTGTGTAAAACTTGCTTTGATAATAGACGAGAAAATTTATGTCGATCCTTAACTGCTTCTTCTCCTTTGGATTTACAGATTTTTTCCTTTGCAATTACAATTTTTTTCCAAGCAGCACTCTGTTCTTTTACAATTTTTTCAATTTCAGAATATGATCCCTGACATTTGATCTTATTATCCTCCATAAGAATAACCTACCACAATTTCAGTTTAATAATTATTAATCAAAATTTTATCATTTTCTTAGATGTTGAAAAATGTTATCTATCTCTATTAATTGTTAATGCAATTTGTTTTTTATTTAACTGCTGTTTGATATTTTTGCTTTTGTAAATATCTTTTTTATATGTGTAATTCTATTAGAAGTGCCAAGTAGTTGGAAAATAAATTGGAAATTTTATTTAGAAGTAAATTTCAAATTTTTAATTAATCTGTTTTAAATCTCTAAAAATACATAATTTTTTTAAAAACAATAAAGAAAACAATGTATACTTCCAAATTGACATTTTCACTTTTTCTAAGTCTATCATTTGAAAAAAGTATAATTAAAATACATATAAATCTGTTTAAAAATAATTAAATTTAAATTCATATTTGTATTAAAAAGACAAATAATCTAAACATAAATTCATTTACAAATAAAATCTACTTATTACTGTTTTCCTAAATTCAAATAATTCCAAACTTAAAATATATTAGTCTAATTCTGAGATTTCTAACATGGTCGCTAGTGAGTCGCAAGGAATTAGTCAATTTATCTGAAGGTTACTAAATTGCAGAGAGTTGTTCCAATGGCATAACTAAGATTTTGGTCTGGGAGTGATCTGGAAGGCTAATCTAAAAAGTACAATCAGAATGAAGGAAAATTAAGCATTCCCTCTGCTGACAAATGAGTGTCCATTATACACCTGCCAGAATGTTCCCAATATACCTCAATACATCCAAAAACTTGATCTATAACAAGATACAATCACATAGTATAAGTATGCGATTGATAACTGATCATTCATTTTTTTTATTATAATAAGAAATGAAATAATTGATTGGTATTAAATTATTCATTAATAAAATGTAATTTTAAATCTGTTGTTTAAGGCTTTTTGGTTTAAATTTTATTCCTAAAACCTTCNATATATGTATATATATATATATATATATATATAATATAATTTTCATCAACCTCCAAAGGATCCAGAATTTGTTCACTAGCCCATCAAAATAATAACTTAAACTTAACTATAATATGAATAGCAGTTTATTATAAAGCAATAACTGACAAATATTAAAATATAAACTGACAACCTTAATGTTAACTTGTTTGCTAAAACTGTAAAATATCAAATTCAGTTATTAAAAGTTTATTAAATATTTATAAGTGTAATTTAATAATTTTTTTATCTAAGTACATAATCTACAAAATGTGGTATTAAAAATGTAAAAATTAAGCATAAATTTTTGACTCAAACTTCTGTGAATAACAAGCCTGTTTAATCCCCATTTTAATCTATTAAATTCTCCTTTTTAATGAAATTTCTAATTGTTTGACTCACACTATATACAGGTATGATTCAGTTTATGCCAGGATTAGGTTCCCAAGATTTCTGGCATAAATTGAAGCAAAAATATAAGGAAAACATATATAAACACATTAGGTTCTATATCAAGATTTTCAGTAGTCAATACAAAATACTTGAAAAATGTTATATCTTATGAAATTTAAATTTGAAACAATTTTCAACACACAAGATAAATTATTAATGTTTATGAAAAGAAAAAGTTATTGCTTTAAAAATAATAGATGTCTGGTTTGAGTGCCATCTTTCTCCATTAACAGAATAACTTCCATTTTTCTTTTGATTGTTGTAATACCATCAAAGGTTTATGAATACAATAATAGAACTAAAAAGAAAGGTGACCACAATAGCAAATGAATTTTACGTCCATTCCACACACATCCAGGGTGAAAGGTGAGAACCTTTTTCTCCTCTATCCCCAGACCAAGCCATTCCTTCCTTCCCCTTTATGACCTTTGAGTTCTCCAAATTCCTGAAGAGTGCAGATATGGCATTAATGGAGAGGGGTTCTTATGAGTATCAGGTTTTAAACTCTGCTTACAATTGTCAATTATTTTTGTTCTCTGTGCACTTGATAACATGTTTTAGAGACATAATGGTAGATATTTGAAAATATTAAAAAAAAAAGTAAAAGATGGACCATAAACAAAAAACCTAGTAAAACTATGAGTAACTAAGAGGGAAAAAAGGCACTTGTTAAAGGAACTGGAACGTAGGTATAGCCAAGGATAGGCGTAAAACTAATCAGATTAATCTCTCAGTATCCTGTTGTCTAGACACTGGTGCATGTTTGTCAGTTCACTTGTAATTCTTAGTTTGTGGTTAGTGTAATTTGTTTTTTCTCACATATTACATTCCATTTCAGTTTTTGCTTATTTATTAAAATTTTAGGCTATAGTTTAATCACTTAGTATTATAGTTTTAATACACTATCAGGACCATGTTTCTAGCATGTTGAACATAGTTCAACCCCTTCCAATTCTTTGATCTACGAGAGGTGCAAAACTGAAACGAGCATAAACTGAAGTGGCATAAACCAAGTCATACTTGTATAATAATTATACTAACTCGTAAAAGCAAATTTTTATAATATTTATGACTTACTTTTGCAGCATGTGTAAGATGTTCCAGTTTATTAGTTACAAGTATTACAGTCCTTTGTCGTCGAAGAAGAAGTGTTTTAATTCCTTGTTCAAAAACATGTGATTCAACATGAGCATCCAGGGCAGATAAAGGGTCATCCTGTAGGAAATGAATTGTATTAATTAAAAAATATAAGTAAATAATCATTTCAATTTTAAAAAATATATAAAAGTATATCAGGAAAGAATTGTTCAAAAAATAAGTCATGTAACAAACTTTTTGCAAGTTCAATGCCTAGAAAAGAACAACTAATCCAAACCAAACAATTTGCCAAATTATATGGCTAAGTACATTAATTTTGTACACCAGGGCTGTCTGATGATAGAACGTGATTCCTCTCCAAACCCTGATGTCTGGTATGAGACCAGTGTGAAGGGCTGGCATATAGTGTTCTCTAGGATACTGCCACACCTGTTCATGGCCATCATTCTTCCAAAGACAGAAGTAGAATTCATTCATAAAAATACCCGATGCCATTCAGTGGCCCAACTGTGATGATGACACCACACCAGGCCTGAAGCCTTGTTTTGAACGATTAATGGCACCTCCAATGCTGGTTGCCATGCATGCAGCCTGACTTCTTGCAATCTGTTGCAAATGGTTTGGGTGGACACAGATGCACCTGTTGATGATGACAGATGGTTTTGGATGGCACATAGCATAGCAAATAGGTCCTGATGGCCATTTGGTGAATTTGCATCTGTGCACACTGTTGACTGCAAGTGTAATCCATTCCCTTTTCAGCATGTTCACAAATGTTCCTGCATCCATCACTCACATTGCGCCCAACATGCATAGCAACTGTGCATATTGACAACCAAAGTCATGCAGCTCCAGGATAGTCTTGAAAAATTTTTCAAAAAAAAAATTTTTTTATTATGACATCATCACAATGCCAGGCTACAGTTTTTAATCATATTTATAATTTAATTTAATATACGTGCTCTAAATTTTAGTAGTGTCTTTCCTCTCTAAATCATACATTTCCTCCTAACAATGAAGTCGTGACAGTCACATATCTAATTTTATTCTGGAGAAAATTTCTGAATTGAAATCACATGACTTCCAGTCCAACCAGAAGTTCATATATTACAGTTAATCAGAGTTCCTTGCCCCTAAGCTTTTCATATGTAATCTTGACTTGCATCTTGCTAATTCTGTTCTTGAAATTCTTGAAAAAGACAGACAGATGGAATTTATAAGTCTGAAATTCAAAAATTGCAGCACAATAACCTTGATTGATTAATAATATAATTTTTACCTTGTATAAAAGTTTTTTTTTTATTTTTGAGTACTGATTTTTCTTTCTTATCTCTAAATGTGATGATAATTCTTTTGTTAGAATGACCCAGAACTATCAATGCACTTAAGGAGGCAATTGTATTAATACATGATAACATCAGTTCAAATAACTTAAGAATGGTTCAAAGATCATGTATTCAGTGCATTCAAAAATGCTTGGAAGTTGAAGACCACAGATTTCAGCAATTGTTATAATTTCAGATATTTAATTAAATAACATAGTTTGTTTCTCTACGGATCTAAATATGTGGTTACTCTGTATATTTATTTAGCATCATTGATATTTTGTCAAAACAATCATTAGTTTTATATTGTAAATATTAATATTGTTAATTTAATTTAATTGGTTTTAACTATTCTAGTATCTAAATGTAGATGTCTGCCATACATATTAATTGGGCTGCAATTTGAAAAAATTGTAGACCTATAAATTCCACTCTCATTCGTCTGTCTGTTTATCTGTCCTTCCTTAATCTTGAGAATGGTGTTAGATAGTTGAAAGTCAAGACTGGATATGGAAAGCTTAAGGGCAGGAGGCTTCGATTAACCATGTATGAATTTCTGGTATAGACCAGAAGGTATGTGATTTCAATTCAAAAAGTTTCTCTAGAATAGAGTTACATAGATGAGTGGCATGACTGTTATCAGGAAAAGTATGATGTAAAGAAGCAAGACACTACTAATTTGAGGTGGAGAGCATATATTTTAAATTAAATAAATAAAAAATACAATTAAAAAAATACAATTAAAAATTGCAGTTTGGCACTGTGACAATGTCACAATCATTTTTGCTTGTTCTTTTTAAATATATTTATTTAATTAACAGCAACACTTTAAAAATAACTTTAAATTTATATTTGGTATTTAAATTTTATGTTTTCCGATTTCTCAAATTAATCTTTAGAACTGTAGTGATCTTGGGGAATACCGAAGTAAACTAGATCTTAATGTGGGGTAAGAGTTAACTGAGGACCTCACAATACAACACACCTCAGAGCCAAATAAAAAAAAATAAAAAAAACATTTATACCAAATCATATACGTGTACATGTAGACATAGCTAACATTAGCCATTTGATAACTGATTACACAGCAGTTACTAATATCCAATTAGTACTGTTACCGGCAAAGTTTGAAATCCGGCATTCTATAGAATGCCTAGGCATTGTATATACAGTAGAGCGTCGATTATCCGAATCAATTGGGGACTAGGGTTGTTCGGAAAATCGATGTTTCGGATAACCGATTATTTACGAGAAAAAATATTAATTTATCCCATCTTGACATTTTTCTCCATTGCGTGTCGCTTTGCGTTGAATTTTGGTCGATGTTAAGCCTAANTAAATTTAAAAACACCAAGATGCATTAGCACAAAATTGTGGGTGGGTCATCTGTTATGAGACTTTATTAAAAATCAACTTTTATATTATTAATTTTTATTAAAAGGCAAAAGACTTAATGTTCAGGGTAGAGATGAATTTTTAAAGATATTGTAAATGTCAATAATGAGTAAAATTTCATTAAGTCTGACTCAACTCAAGAAGATATGACATAACCCCTATATTTCCCCACCCTTTGACCTTTAACCTCCAAACTTAATAGCATCAATGTCCAATATACAGAAAAAATCCTGTCAAGTTTCTAAATTTTTGGTTTGTCCAGTCCTGAAATATAATGCGAAATAGATACCAACACACAAACACAATTTTGTAAGTTATTTTACATTTTTGGGCTCTTGTAGTATCAAAACTACTAGTACAAAATAAAGAAATTAAAAATGGAGCAGTCAAAATTTGACCAATCATTGTACTTTTCACATGTTAAATTCTACAACTGAAAAAGTAAAATTGAATATATTTTAAAAATATACATTTTAAAATAAACATACCTGAAGGAATTTGAAGATTGATGTCAAATAAAACAGTGTCATTACCCCATGCAAAATATCCATTTTGTATAGAAACTATAACATGACTATCTTGGACATTATAATTAATTATTTCAGGTAAAAACACTCCATCAGAATCATCTAATCCTAAAACTGTTCCAGTTCTATTTTCAAAGTTATCTTTTACATGAAGCTAGAAATACATATACATTATAAATAAATTATTTTCAACAAATGTCAATTTTAATTTTTTTAACACTAAATTTATTTTTATATTAACAATCTTAAATTCATGTATTATGACAGAGGCTGTTATCTGTAGTAACCAAAATACCAACAGTAAAATGCTGAAAAGTAAAGAAGTTAAACGTTTTATAAGATAAAACATTATTTTAAACTAAGTCTATCTCATCATTGCATTTTAACATTAAAAAGTGATTGTTTTTTACTTAATTAAACATCAGAGATTAATAGATTCAAACTACTAAATGTAATGAATATGTGGTAATTAAAATCTTTTAAAAATGGAGAAGATACATGATAATTTAAACATAACAAAGACATACAACTATTTTTTAAAAAGTTTTTTATGTTATACTTTAAATTAAGTGAGTCCTCACTGTTTTTTAAGCATTTTAATGTCACACTCACTATGTATGGAAGTTTGAATCTGTTAATCTGTAATGTTTAAAAAATTGTTTTGTTTAATTAATGTTAAGATCTGATGATTAGACAGACTTAATCTCCAAAATATTTTATTTTATAAACTTGCTGACTTCTTTACCATTTAGCATTTCACTATCACTATCAGCATCAGTAACTTTAAAATATGTAATCAAAATTATTAATAATAAATAAATATATATGTAAGGTAGTCACTTAATCATCTATGCATTTGATGCATACTTGATCCAGCACTAAAATAACTGAAGGGAATCAATTTAAGATTTAGCTTAGCATACAAATAATCTCTGACTATAAAGGATTAAAACAACATTGCAGAAACTAATACAAATAAGTAATTATTTATTGTGACATCATCACAATGATGGGCTGCAATTTTTAATCATATTTTTCATTTATTTAATTTAAAATATATGTTTGCCATCTCAAATTATTAGGATCGAGTTATAAACTCTATAATGTAACCATATCCGTAGCTGTAAGTGTATCCATATAGCATGGTTATAAACTCCGTATCATATCCGTAAGAAAAGTTTGGATTAATCAAACTTTTATGGTAGGGATATGGAGAATTGACCAACTGCGCATGCACTAAGTTGCCATCAGTCGATGTACAGTTGGAAGTTGTGCAGGAAGCAACCGACGAAACTTTGACAAATTGATTGAAACGTAACTTTTTACTGACAATGCTGCTTCTGAATAATATAAAATTTTAAGATACGAATTACTTTGGTCATAAAAAAAATTAGAAAAATAATAAAATGAATAAATAATTATACTGTTAGATCTGGCAATAACTACCGATGATTTTGCTCATGCTCACGACGGACTGCTTCGTAAACCGTAAAAAAAGTTTGTTACGGAAAAGGCCTTACAGTAGTTTATAACTATTGCTATAGATATTCAGTGTAGCAAACATTTTATTTTATAAACTTGCTGACTTCTTTACCATTTAGCATTTCACTATCACTATCAGCATCAATAACTTTAAAATATATAATCAAAATTATTAATAATAAATAAATAAATATATGAATATGAATACGGTTATGTTACGGAGTTTATAACTCAATCCTTAGTGTCTTGCCTCTGTACATCATACTTTTCCATTAGCAATGGAGTTGTGCCAGTCATCTATTAACTGCTTTCAGGGGAAGTTTTGAATTGAAATAACATGACTCCTGATTTGCATTGAGAATTCTTATATAGTTGATTGGGGCCTCCAGCCCCTAAGGTTTCCATATCTGATTCGTCTTTCATCTCTCCATTCTCAAGATTAAGGAAAGATGGACATATGGACAGACAGATAATCGACAGTGAAACTTTATAGGTCTACAATTTTTTTCAAATTGCAGCCCAAAAAACAAGTTTTATTTTGTTAGACAACATGTTCAAAATGACTGCTTTCAGTGGTATATAAAGATGTAGATGCTTGAGTAGGACATTATGGTTGAGTAGAACATTATTGTTGTAAAAAGTTTTATTTTTAGTTATAATGTAATCCTGTAGTCTTAGGCACTTCAATAGCTCTTTGAGCATGTACAATATATCTACTGAGTGTTTTAGAGGCTGATTGATGTATAACATATGTTAGTGTTACGGACATGTTGCTCTCTCTCTTGCACAATTTTACATGCTTAAGAGTAAGTGTTGTAATAATATTTTTTCTGATGGTATATTTGTTGTCATATTCTGACAATTTTTTTTATTATTTTTAAAATTAGCATTGAGGAGGGTTTGGGATATATTGCACCAACCTGAAATGCATATGTAATTTAATTTAAGAATAAAATCAAAGTTCCTAACCGAAAATTTGCTGTGAGACCATCTACCATAATTCTTTGGATTACAGAGACGTTTTATGTAGTTATCTGTAGTGTCAAATTCAAAAAAGTTTATCTATAGACAATAAAATCATATCTCAAATTGTTAGTCAAACTTAAGCTTAAACTTCCGGGTTATTTTTCAGGTTCTACTAAAGCTAAAACTGTCCTTGATAAGTTCAGCCTGTCCTTCATCACCCAGCTGTCTGCAGTGTGGGCCTGGCCAAACCCATAATGGGTATGAAAACAATGGCCCTGTTAATGCAACAGAATGGAAAGTGTAAAAAACAAAAACTTTTAAATGAAATATTATGTATATTTATGGTAAACTTTCTAAATATTTAGTTGATTTATTTCTGTTTAAGATATCTTGTTTCTTATAATTGTGATTCATTTTGTGTACATTAGAAATGTCATGAAAAAGTATTGTTGCTAACAACAATAATTTGGGAATTATAATTAAAGAAATGTTTGCAAAACAGAATATAAATTCTAATAACAACAGAGTTGTGCCAGTCATCTGTGTAACTCCATTTAGGTGAAAATGTTTTAATTGAATTCGCATGACTTCTTGTCTACACTGAGGCCTTCTGCCCTAAGCTTTCCATATCTGGTCTCAACTTTCATCTATTTAACACTGTTCTTGAGATTAAGGAAAGATGCATAGACAGACAGATGGACAAAAGTGGAAAGTTATAGGTCTACAATTTTTTCAAATTGCAGTCCAATTAGTTAATTGTATTTACTAAGTGTCATGTATTGCCAATGTATGATATATATATTGATGGACCTAAATAAAATGTAACTAAGGTAAACAGAATATTTATTTGGACCTTGTTAAAAATATATAAGTTTTTTGTTGTTTAAATGTATTGTAGATATCAAAGATCAATAAATGGGAACCAATATATAGTATTTAAACATGAACTTGGATTCTAAAATCTATACTAAACTTGGATTCATCAAGTCTCAAAATACCATGTTTTTGGGCTTTGTTAAAATTAATTTTAATAAAACCCAAAAATATTATGCTGTAAGTTTGACTGTACACAAATTAAACTAAATTTTATTGTAAATAATGATATACATTATATTACAATTTGTCCTATCCATATTTCATATTTGTAATTATCTTACAGACAATATAAGTATTTGATACTCATCTAAATATATAAAATTGCTTGTCCTGACTGACTGACTGAATGATTCACTCACTCACTGATTCATCATTGCCCAGAGCAGACCGCTTAACCTAAAGAGGTGAAATTTGGTAGACAGTTAGGGTACATGATGGAAATGCACACTAAGAAGGGATTTTTCGAAATTCCTCTGTGGGGGGAGAGGGAGAGGATTAAGGCTTAACTGGAAGAATGGCTTCTACTGCACTATTTTAGATGCAATTTTTTGTTTTTATCTGCGTTTTAGTAGGGTATGTCATGGGAATGCACACAAAAAAGGGATTTTTCAAAATTCCCCTGCGGGCGGGAGAGGGAGAGGATTTAGTCTTCATCAAGTACTTAGGTGTATTAAATTAATAACATTTCAGACATTGTTATAAATATTTTTATCTATTTCGATTTTAAAAATGTTTGAACCGTTTTAGATTCGAATTTGTTATTGCATATTGGTTCAATTATAGAACGATTGTAAACGTTCCAGAAAATTGATCAAATTGAAAATACAGTAGAACCTCAATTATCTGGACCTCTATTATCCGGATTTTCGATTATCCGGATTGTTCAAAATAAACAAAAATTTTANCCCTTACCTCCCTTCTCCTTGTCCTTGGTCTTTTCACGGTTCTTCCATTACATGCAGGTTCAGGAACAAAAAGGTGCTCTGCCGTTGTGGGGTCACCCTTTTTATAACTCCATTTGTTCAATCGTCCTGCCTTCTATCACGTGGTCTCCTTAACAGCCAATCAACAGTTCACCAACTACCCCCACAAGGTGGTGCACGATGCAAAGGAAAATGACATTGATGCATTACAAAATAGCAAAACCCGACACACATAATAGAAAATGTAGCAAAAAACAAAAATATAAGGTAAATTATAATACAGATAAAGTGCATAGCACTACAGAACTATTTAATGTTTTTTTTATGTTATTGTTTAAGTTTCTTATTATATATAATCGAATGCTTTTGAATAACCTCCACTCATTTCTTGATAGTGTTTATAAACATGAACATCAAATAAAAAACAGAACTTTGAGTATAAATAAAAATTGCTTGAAAATATTTTATTACATATAAGAAAGTTAAAACAATCCTATAAAGATTACAAAGTTCTAAACATTTATATAGATTGAACTTTAAAATACTAAATTCTATGTAGATTCATCCAGAATTTTACATTTGTAATTATTACTAGAATTAAATATTGAAAAAAAAATATACAATTAAAATTACATCACTATTAAATAATATAATGCTTTTACATTCATTGAAACCAAAGTATAACCTGAAAATTATAATTATCTGTTGACACCTCAATTATTTTTTAATAAAACATTCATTTTTTCCTTTGGTTAGAACAATTTTCTTATAAAAAATTTCTTTCCATTGGAAAAAAATTGAAGGAATATGGGCGAAAGGGGTTAAATGGGGTAGAAAAGATGAATAATTTTTTAAAATATTAAAGAATTTCTACATACTACAAGATAAATTCTTACCAAAATTACAAGACGAGCTTGTGAATAAAATGCTCTTGCAAGAGCAATCCTTTGTCTTTGTCCACCACTTAAGTTTACACCACGTTCTCCAATTTCTGTTAAATCATGACAAGGCAATAAGTTAATATCTGCTTGAAGTGCACATGCTTGTATTACCTGATGATATCTATAAAAACAAATTAATTTGTAATAAAGTTATGTATGCTTAAGTTATAAGAAAAAAATTCATAAATAATAAAAATATACAATATTATTATATCAAGGCGTAATTAATTTATATACAAAAGATAATATTTATTTGAAATGAATTTGTAATCTTAATTTAAGTTTACAGTTATCATCTGTTCACCACATAAAAATGTGATTAATTATATTTATAATATTCTTAAATAATTATAAGTCAGGGATTATTTTCCTTATTTACTGTTATATTATATAAAAGTAAAAATTACATATAAGTACACAATTTTTGGATTGTCTCACTAATCAAATGAAATAGCAGTTTCTAACATTAAGTATTACTTTCAAATTTGTTTTAATTCTATATGTAGATGACTTGATTTCACACTATAAATATGAATCTTTCTATCTCAGCAAATAAAGGTATAAAGGTTGCCCAAATAAAAAGTGGACACCCTTCAAAACTGGCAAACATTTATTGCAAACCTAAAAGAAATCTCCATGTTTGTTTAGGCAAAGATCCTAGCATCTCACATGCAGATCGATGCCCCTTGCGTAAAATTTTGGTGGCTATTAATAAAAAATTCTTTGACCCTATTCTTCACCTCATAATCCAACATGAATTTTTGCCCTTGTAAAGCTTTCTTAAGCAACCCAAAAATGTGAAAGTCACACAGCAGTAAAAAATCCTCAACATCACTCTTCCAGCACTTTGCATTATTACAGACTTATGAGGTGCTAGGGAGGATGAGTGTTTTTATTGCTTGCTCTTGTTCTTCGTTTTGGGAGTGTAATGTTGCACTAAGCACTCCTATTCCCTTCAACCACTAAAAATCAAACCACAGCCTCTGGTTTGATTATGGATGCTTCCATTGTAACTAACTTAACATAAATCTGCCAATTACTGGAGATAAAATTATTCCTGCCAATACTTAATGCAGCCCATGCTTCGACTATGTTAAATTCACTCACCTGTAAGGTGACCCATCAATCGCTACTTTGCATGATGAAATACGACACATATCCACTTTTCAATTGGGAAATCTTAATATATGTTACATTCTTGTGAACATGTTTATTTGTTCATATTTGTCAAATTTGCATTATTATTCCAGTAATATTTATTTAAGAAATAAAGATTTTATTTTGATTATTTTAAATAGCCATGTTGAGATTTTAATTGCAATGTTTCAACTGCACAAGTGTTTGAAAAACAGTGAGTCATAATCATTAATTCAAAACCACAATATTATAATAGCATACATGACACTGTAGTGTAATGTTACAATATGAGGTCTGTCCCAAAAGTAAGTGTACTGATTTTTTATTTCAAAATATACAAGCATACATCAAACTACAAATGATCTCCTTTTTTTAATGTTTTCTAATGTCCCGAAATGATGACCTTTCAAGTTGGATTTTATCTTAGGAAATAAGTAGAAGTCGCACAGGACTAGGTCCGAACTGTAGGGAGGTTGTGGATGTATGGGGATTTTTTCTTGGCCAAAAACTTTTAAATTGATAGCACTATGTGAGCAGGCACATTATCGTGGTGCAGCACCCAATCTTCTGCAATGTCCCTGTGGACTTGTTGACCCATTTTCAGTCATTCCAAGACTTCTTTGTAGAAGGCCTGAATAACTGTCTGTCCTGAAGGTAAAAATTCTTTTTGCACAATTCCACGGCTATCAAAAAACCGATAAGCATCTTTACCCCAAATCTTTGTGCCATCCAAACACTATTTCTCGATAAGGTAGCATCTCCATAAACTTTGGTTAAATCTGCAAATGTCTTGATTGCAGATTTCTTGAGTTTCACACAAAACTTGATAGTGTAACGTTGTTAGAGATTTTTCTCCATTTCAAACGTAACGACGTGTTAAAACACTATCTTACACAAACAGAAATTGTGCACATTTGACTTTACTAATCAACCTGAAACAGGTCTAGATATGCTGCTAAGATATCTAGCAATGCAAAAAATACCAATTAATAATGTGTTAAGCTACACAGTCATTAAATAAAAAAATCAGTACACTTACTTTTGGGACAGACCATGTAATGTCTTTTATAATATCCCTCACAATAAAAAACCAAGTGGAATATATTTGCAATAGGCAAGAACAGATTCATGAAATTATAAGAAATGTTTAATGAAACATTTCTGTAATATATTTATTATTAAATTATTAAAATTATTTATAATAATCTTTCCATTTATTGAAATTCATTACCTCCTTCCATTATATGGTTGTCCAAATAGTATGTTCTCTTTCAATGTAGCATTTAATAACCAAGGCTTTTGAGGAACGTAGGCTACATACGAAGTACTTCAAAAACAAAATTTTACATTTTTTTTTAAATGCTCCATAATTGTTTAAAACTGAATTACACAAATAGTTTTATACCTTGACCACTGAACATTTCCTTTCAATGTATGCAATTCACCTAAAAGTACTGATAACAATGATGATTTACCACTACCTACTGGTCCAACAATTGCTGTTAGTTTACCTTAAAAAAACATNTTTTGTTTTTAAATTAATTTATTGTTAATGGTATGCTCATTAAATTTAATACAGTTCATAATATTATTACATTTGACATTATAAACCTGGAATAAATTAAAGAAATAACCTAAAATTATAACAGTATTTAACAATTTTAAGATCAGATATAAGTCTAATGTATTTAGATTCACAAATCTGATAGTGGAATTTAATGACCAAAATTTCTGACTGTTAATTTATTAAATTTATATTTTGTCTATTACTAGTTATTTATAGTTATTTATATCATATGCTAATGGGTTATTTATTATCCAGGAATTTTCCAACTTGTATTTGATAAATCATAACTTACACATACAAATTCTACAGTAGGTAACAATATAACAACTAAGACATCCATTTAGTAATTATTAATATTAATAATTTTGACAAAACCTCTAGACCAATGGTTCATAATCAAAGTGCCATAAAGCCACTCTAAATGTGTTGTCAATGAATTTAAAAATTAAAATAAGAAATCTTAAAGTTTTGTAAAAAAAATTACAAAAATACATTTCTATGTACTATTAATTATATTTCAGAAATTTGTACTAGCCATGTATAACAGAGCTTGTTTTATATGGAGACAGAAATCATGTTCTATATATAATTTATGCTTCATATCTGAGAATTCCTGTATTATGCTACATGAATCACATAATTGACTTTCCTGTACCACCAAATGATTTTAAACAGCTACATTATTTTTCTATAGTAAATGAAAGAGATTTGTTCTACTAATACCAAAAGTTCTCAATTTTGAAAGAATATATTATTGCAATTATCTCACTCTGAGTATTATTAATATAAATATCTTATAATTGGATATCAATGCTTAAAGCAGATTAATTATTGTGGTTGTTAATGATCATTGAATGAAGGACAAACAAAAAAAAATAATTTACTTGAAGACTCAAGTTAAGGGAAATTCATCTGCTATCTTAGCAAACTGGTGTGCCCTGTAGTGAGCACTGTAAGAACTACAGTAAAATTGACCCAATTTTTTGGAGTTGAACAATAATATCTCTAATAACCCTGTAAATAAATATATATACAGGGTTATTAGAGATATGATTGTTAAACTCCAAAAAATTGGGTCAATTTATATATATACATTATATGGTTATCGGTTATTACATTATATATACATATATATATATATATATATAATATATACAGGGTAATCCAAAAGTTGAGAAACATTTAAAAAGTTTTTCATGTATGGTAATGAGATTAGCATGGAAATACATAGAATCACAAAGATATAGACAGAGACATTGGAAATTTGAGGTTAAATATTTCTATTATTACCTGAATGTTTAAACCCTATTCAACTAATTTGTTTTAGTTTAATGTTTATTATTTTCATATGAATTTATTGATTTGTTATTTGTATAATGATAGTTGCAATTACTTACCACAAGAGTAACAATAATTGATGAAGCTTGAGTAATAAAAGCTGAAAAAAAAAAGAAAAAAGAATTTGTACATTTTTTAAAAATTTTAATCATTAATATTTTTATTGGTATTTAAAAATTGTTTATCTATGTAATTACATTTATATAATCATGTTAATTATATAATCACATTAATTAATACACAATATATTTATTATATTATTTTGAGGAAAGTAAACCAACTTTTTAATTAATTTTTGTGAAGTTTTTTAATTTACTTCAAACATATTTCATATTTCTGTATAAAGATGAGTGAAGTATTTTAAAAATTTCTGTAGCATATAGATTTATTTTCAGATTTATTCTAGGATTATCAATGATAATGCAATTAATAAAAAATACTGAAGTTTTATATGAAAAATGACTATGCAAAAATATCCATTTGCAAAAGTAAAAATAGTTACTATTTGTATGAAAGTAATATAGTAAACATGCTCATTCATTTATTTTACAATAGAACATGTTTCATTATTATTTTATTATGTTACGTTCAAATAATAAAATTATCATCTTTTATAATTATGAAAAAATATTTTAGTAATGATTTAAGAATCTTATAATAATTCTTAAATCATTATTAAACTAAAATGGTTGAACTGATTAAAATAACTTACTATTAAGAGCAACATAAATAGCATCCTTCTTCAATAGTTTTAGTTCTTTATCACGAATAGTTTCAATCTGATTAGCATATTTTATTTCCCAGCCATATAATTTTAGAATCTTAATACCCTGAAGTAATTCATTTATTCTTTTCAGTCTATCATCAGCAATTTCCTGAAAAATAATCATCACCATCATTATGAAATTCTATAAAAAGTATTTTAAAACATTTGCAAATCACTTATAGAGAACAAAACTTTGTATTATAAAGAAAAAGTGTTTGTCACAATAAGTTTCTGACTGCATAAACTTATTATTACAAACAAATACAAACAAGTGAATTTCAATACAAAATAGTCAAGAATTAAAAAAAAAAACCATAATATTCTGTGACAAATACTATTTCTTCATCATAATTACCTTCAGCCAACAACCTCCACTGAAAATTTATAAATTATTTTGTTACTACAAACAATATTTAATTAAACATTTTAAGAAAATTTTAATTTGTTTTAATTTCTTTTTAATAACTACATTCTCTCAATTGTAGAATAGCTAACACTATTATACCAAATATAGTAGTTTTATATAATGAAACTGAGATCCAACTACACTATCACAAAAATTTGATTCTTCACTTTTTAATTATAAATATTAAATTACAATGATTAAATGGTCAAAATGGTTAAGGCATGTGTCTACTACTTTAAAGATTCTAGGTATGAGTCTGGATCATATCCTCTGGAACTTTTCATAAGTGATTTAGTCCAAAATTGTTGGGCTCTGCATCTTATTACTCAGCTGCCCCACTGTGGGCTTGATTGGAGGGAGTCCTTACAGAAAAATAAGTACATATTGGATGAAAAGAAAGTTAAACTATATGTAATTTCTGTTTCTTGTAATTATTGTTACAGTAATACCCTGCTTAACGCTGCTTCGATATAACGAAGTCTTCTGAAAGCCTAAAAAACAGGCTCAAAATTTACACTGATTCAAATTATTGCAGAATTTCATTGATTCGTATATAATATGATTATTTACAAACATGAACCAATCAGAAAAGGGTGGCAATTCATCGTAGCGCTGTACTTTTCTTAGATCTATGTTTGTTTGGTGCAATTTTGGATAAAAATAAAATATTATAGATGCATGGGCAATATTGACTTCGCTTGGCAAGAATTAACTGATAAATGCATAAACAAAGTGTGAAAGAAGTTATGGCTGAAGGTATCCAAGAATTCTCAACGAGAAGAGCCTATTGCTGTATTGTTGGGTTAACCAAATTGTCAACCTAATTGATACAGCAGGACTAGGAGATGTAGATGAGCAGGATATTGAGGAATTTCTGGTGAGAGCCTTACCAATGATGACCTTCAAGAACTGGCAGAACAAGGAATTCATGTAAAACTGGAAAATAGAGATTCTGAAAATGAAGAACCCAAGGAATTTCTCTATAGATTTCCTTAGTAAAAGTTTGGTAACGATAACCAAAATCATTGATGAAATTGTAGTGAATAATCCAGATTTTGAAAGGAGTGCAAAAGCAAGACAAAGTGTTTTGGATGCACTCTTCTGTTACTGACATTTGCTTAAGGAAAGAAAAATAAAGCGACAAATGAAACTACACAACTTTATCGCAAAAAACAACAATTTCAAAAGAGTTGGGACATTCATCACAAAAAATGAACTTCACATTTCTGTGTGTATATGTTTGTGTTATTTAACATATATTAATATGCAAATTAATATAAAAATAACTTAAAATTAAAGTAAAATCTGTTTATTTTTGGTCACGTGTTCCCCTTTCCATATTTACTCTATGTTAAAATGACCTCATTTAATGCTGTTTCGTTAAGCACTTTGTTATCTAGGAATGCATCCCCCATGTTAAGTGGTCTTACTATACTTGTGGATTATCATCCAGTATGTCACACTGTGTTGCAGTTGAAATGAACAATGAAAAATAGAAATTTCATTTTGTCAATTTCAGAAGTTACTTTTTTTATAATAAACAATTGTTCAAATAATTTTAATATTTTAGTAAATAAAGTAGTACAAGTATTTATATTTATTACGAGCAATTGTGTGTTGTGACATTGTCACAATGCCAAGCTGCAATATTTAATCATACTTTTAATTTATTTAATTTAAAATATGTGCTCTCAAGTTTAATAGTGTCTTGCCCTTGTGCATCATACTTTCCTGTTAAAAAAAAAAAAGTCATGCCAATCATTTATCTAACTCCATTCTGAAGAAAATTTTAAAATTGAAATAATGTGATTTCTAATCCAAACTAGAAACTCATATATAGTTAATTGAGACCTCATGCCCTTAAGCTTTCCATATCTGGTCTTGGCTTTCATCTGTCTAATTCTGTTCAAGATTAAGGAACCTATATACCTTAAGGAACAAATTGCAGACCTATAAATTCCCAGTGGCATCCATCTGTCTGTTAGAAAGATGGATGCCAGCAGAAATTTATAGGTCTGCAATTTTAAATTTGCATCCAATTACTGTAACATACATAGATTCTTTTAATTCTTAATATTTATTTGATGTTAAAATATAATAAATTCAACTTACTTCTTCAAGTACTGGTTTAACAGGATGGCTAGTTTTTATCCAATTATTTTCAGTAGTTCATGCAACTTACTTTTCATTTCTTACTTTTCCAAGTTAAATATTATGCCTTTCTATGCACTTTTATGTCAGGATGGATTTATGCCATTTCCATTTACTTGTCTATATACCAACACCATACCTACATTTGTTACACTCACATTTTGATTTTTTTCACTCTAAATATAACTTCATTTTAGTACCTTTTTTTGTGAAAGCTTCCAAAATGTAATTAACATATCATATTCCTGCAGAACACAATCATCATCAACTTCAGACATTCCAAAAATTGAATGAAAAAAAATTCATTCTCCACAAACTGTCCCATCAGCAAAATTCTCAAACTGAAGACTATTGGTGCTTAACATTAATCATGTATTGCATGTTTGATGTTAAATTATTCTGACTTTATAAACAAAAAAGTATTTTTAAACATCACTGAAACAAATTAATCTTAATTAAATCTTTCATATGTGCAAAATTTAGTTATTTCATTTGGTCACCTATTCAAACTCATTTATGCCATTTCATAAACTATGTAATAGAGCCCAATGGATACATCAGAATGGAAAGTGACACGTGACATGATATGGGAAGATAACCCACAAGTACCATAATTATATCATTAAAAACAGATTTAAACAATTAAATATTTTTAAGAAAATAGAATTTACAAAAGGTAAGTTTTTTCGAGTGAATCATATGAGCTTTTTAAAAAATGTAACAATAAAAACAGTTAAATTAAATAATATATCACAAAACTAAAAATTATAATTATGACTTAAAAAGATTTGATTTCAAATAAAACACNAGCTTGTCTTCTATCAATTCAAATTCTGTTCATAAAGTATTAAATTTAAAAAAAAATAAGACTTATTTGACTTCTTAAAAGAAGACTATTTAATTGATTTAATTTTAGAATGAACAAAGTATATGGTTTCATAAGTATATTTTTTTCTAATTTAATATATCTGGTTTTATAAAATCCAATAAAAATATGGATTAATAAAACATATAATAAATGTAAATAAATGTTTAAAAATCTAAAATTTCTAGAAAAAAGCTATTTTAAAATCTTACCAAGAACTGATGAAAGCATCACAAAGTTACAGGCAGAGATAGGCAGATGAGCTAAAGAAGCATTAAATGATACTATACTTAGAATAAAAACAGAATAAGTTTTTATTAATATCTGAATATTTGCAATTAATGTGCAGAAAATAAAGAACATCATTAGTAAGTAATCAAAGCTTCATAACAAAATATTTGTCATTTTAATTATAATCTTTCAATAAGTATTATCTATTGTACATTAAGTAATTCAATTAATTTCTGTAAATTACAATTTTTCAAAAAATTATTGTAAAATTTAATATATTAGTATTGCCAAATATAATGATCACTAATTTCACTTTATCCTTTAATTTCTAAAATTCAGTAATTGCATTATATTAATATTTTAAATGAAGACTTTAATATTAAAATGTATTAAACTGTTCTCAAAACAAAAATTACAATGTATAAAGGTATGTAAACAATTAACATGTTTTGAAGGCTACATTTCCATAAACTATTTTATATTCTTTTGTCCAATGCCATCAAAACTTCTTTGAAAATGTGAAAATCCTTCCATGGAAAAGCATTTTTAAATATGGTAATATTTAAATTAATGTATTTCCTTCAATATATACAAATAAAAATAAATTTTCATAATTCTTGCTTGAGCTTCTTATCTATTTTTCCTAATTATTTTTTTATGGTTTTTCAATAAAAGTTTTTCATATTTACTGATATTGGTAGATACATTTTTGGGTTAGCAATTGGTATGAATAAATATTTTTGAGACACTTATGCAACTTAAATGATCCTTTGCTTATTTTATAGCTAAATTTAAAATAAACTGCTAATGAAAATGAAATGAAACAATTTTTTTTAGGAAAATAAATTTTTAAGACAATAAATTGCATACTCATAATTTCAATTCTGCTTTAGAAATATAATGTAGATCCTGGTATGTGTTACACAAAGCCTTTATTTCAGTTCTAGCAATATTTAAATTTGTAGGTTGCCGCCATGCTTAGCCATATAAAAATATATGTTATGTTTTAATAAAATTAAAAAGTAACATTTTACTTGTACAAATTTTTAAATTTCTTTATTTTTAAAATGCAAATATTTTGTTAACATAGAAACAGAGAAATATACTACAGTCAATACTGTATTTTTTTTTACTTGGTAGACAGAACTTATTTTTTGATATTTCAAAATCTGTTTTAACAGATATAAATAATACAACAATATATAAAATCAACAAAAGCAGTTAAGATATAAATCATAACACTAAACTGCCAGATTTTATAATCTATTTTTTATGCTAATTATAGAAATTCACAATTGAAAGAATTTAATTTTTTCTTATATGTATTCAATCACTAGTTTCTATAATTAGCATGAAAAAAAATAATATCTCAGGAAAATCTGGGATTACTTTTGTTTGTAAATAATACAAATTTAAAAATAACATAAATTAGTGTCTTTAACTTCTCTAATAATAAAAATTTAATCTAAATTTCAAATTAGAAATAAGTGTAATTAAAAATATTTTACCTTCTTATATTTCAGTGTATTATAATAAAATCTGAATCATAAAATATTAATTTTACACAAAGCAAGAAAACTAATATAATTACAAATGAATGATAATTTCTGAATGAATAAAAATCATTTAATATTGATATCAGAAAATTTCCAGGTTAATGGTTTTGTACTTTCTTCATTCTAAAAAACATAAGTCTATTCCACAAATTTGTTACAACATAATTTAATTGTTTCTTCAGAGTATCTAAATATCTTTAAAAATATAGATTTATCAAATCAAAATCAAATGATAAATATCAAATTTTAAGATATGTTAAAAGCTAAAATGATTATTCTGAACATTATAACTTTTATCATTATTAATTAAACTCGTGATTGTTATAATGTGTAAATTATCTTCTCTTTAAATTCTGTATTGAAAGTTTTACCAAAATAATTTACAATACTTAATTCAATTTAAAAAACTCATTTTTGTTAATATTTTTACTTCTAATCTATTAAATCTAATGAACTAGTAATGAAATTCATGTACATATAAATTAAACACTTACTACTCTTATTGCATATTTTGAGAATTTACAAATTAGTAATTAGATTTAATACATAAAAATATAAATACGACTTTTAAACAAAGTTAAAAACTTTGTTTAAAAGTCGGACAGACACAAAGTTAAAAACTTTGTGTCTGTCCGACTTTTAAACAAAGTTTAAAACTTTGTTTAAAAGTCGTATTTATATTTTTATGTATTAAATGTAAATAACGCCGGCCATGAATTTTATTTTTACTTAGTAATTAGTTTTGGAAGTTTTCTGATATAAAAAATAAAAATTCTTGTAAACATTATCAAAAACTGTTTACATTTATAAATTATAGATATTAAAAAGTTATCTAGATATTTTACATTTAGTGTTCCCATATATATATGTACAGTACACATATAAGGATAAACTATAAGTATCTTGTATAGATTGTATGTAGATTGTATAAGTGGGAAACAGAAACCTAGAGAAATTCAACTTAAAATGGTCCATATTATAATATATAGGAACAAAGTATAAAAAATTTAACATAGCTACTTACCAATGTCTTTTTCTGAATATATGACAATTTTGAGCATATATAATATTGCAATGGAGCCAATATGTATATAGTTGCTGCTCCTATCAAAGCACTATAACCCAATTGCATATACAATAAAATTAAAAGTAACGTTATCTGGAAATAAAACTTGTCATATATAAAACATTAATTATTTTCATGAATCTAAAAGTCTAAAAATCTTACTTTAAATGGCACAGCCCAAATATAATGACCCATTGAAAAAAGCATCATCATATTGAATGCATCAACAGACATATGATTAACTATTGCTCCTGTATCTAAACCAGTAGAAATACCCATTTTCAGTGATTTTTTGTATACAAGACACTATAAAAAATTCAAGAATTTTTTAAATTAAGGAATTGATTACATTTATCTTAATTATCCTATTACAATTATACATTGATTAAAATTTTATTCATCAAATTTTTAAAATAACTTTCCATATTGTTCATCTGAATTTCTGAAATTAGATTAAACAGTAAACTTTAATAATAAATTTATAATAATGAAAATTTTGCATATAATATTTCCATTTCTTTGATTATTATTATTTAAAAATTCTTTTAATTATAAAATATTCTCAAAATATTTAATATTTTTTCATGCTAAGCTTCAGAATATGAGACACTCTCAATTCTGTTGTTAAGACTGTTGAATGAGAAATGGAAAACAAAATCTCAACATAAACATTGATTCCAGCAATAACTATTCAAAAATAAATTTTAAAATATGATTAAATTTCTATGGATGTGTTCCAAAAGTTCCTTCTATTCAATTATCCTCAACTATAAAATCACTTCAATTATTAATGAATACTTAGATTCAAAATTTACAATGGAAGAACTAAATGACTCAATCAATAAAATGCACAGAAATTCAACACTGGGAAGTGATTATATCCTGATTAAATTTCTTAAATTATTACCAACTCAGCAAGGTCTAAGTTACTTGGTTCATTTAACAAAATGTACAATACTCTCTTTCTCCTGCTTCATGGAATTCTGTTTGGCTCAATATTCAAAAAGGGAGATAAACTTCTTCCTAATAATTACCAACCAATAACTCTTTTACCCACCTTAAGAAAATGTTTGATCCTTTGTTCAAGCATGATGTAGTGCAATCATTTGACCACTTGGCATTTTTCATCATTAACTTTTATTCAGTTGATCAACTGAATAAAAGTTAATGATGAAAAATGCCAAGTGGTCAAGTGATTGCACTACATCATGTTTNGACGAAACTGTGGGCACAGCTAGTCATTAACAAAAAGATAGAATTTTATTCAAAATCAAAGAAATGAATTGTTTTGATACAACAGATCTAAGGGGCATCAGCTAATTGTTACTCATATTCGGAGATCTTACACTAAGCCTCAGCATGCTATTTTCCAGTTGCAACAGTATTTAACTTTAATGCAGAGACTGTGTTGAATATATTACAGAAATGCAATTGATATTTTTTGGAGGATTTTAGAGTTGGGGCTATAGACAAATATCTTTTCTGCTCATGGAATAATACATTGCTAGTACTTGCATTTTAGATTTTGCATATAACTGAGAATGGAAAAAATGAATATGAAGTAATTACATTCATTAATAATTTATATATATATATAGTAATTAAAGGGTTCAGTGAAGAAGTGCTATAAGTAACAAAAAGTATAACTTGAATATATATGTAAGAAAATTTAACATTGGTTAAAAATAATGTTTTAAATAAACAGATAGATATGCAGTCAAACCTTGGTTTTTGAACATTATTCATTTCTAAAAGTTGTTTAAAAACTAATTTGTTCTAAAACCAAAACAAAGTTTCCCATAAACAACATAAAGTTGATTAATCCGTTCTTGACTCCAAAATAAAACCTTTTTTTTACCTTATTAGCTGTATTTCATGCATTAAAATACCTACAAATGCAATATAATATATATGTTAAGAGTTCTGTTTTGTCACCGCCAACTGAAATTGAAACTGAGCTTTACAAAAAGTGCTATATAGAGACTCAACTCTGACTGCCTGCACAAAATATAACCAAATCAAGATGGACAAGTACTTTATCCACACTTTCTGAAATATCATGTTTTGATTGATTTCATTTCAATTTTAGTTTGTTTCAGTGACTTTTAATTATTATTTTATTAATTTTAAATCTAATTATTATTTTTAGTTTTAATTAACTAGCTATGTAGTTATAATAAATATTAATATTGTAATATATTATATTAATAAATTTTTGCTATTTAACTTAAGCATATTTAAACACAAATTCTTGGATGCCATTTATATTATTTGAATGTCAATTAATGTAGTTTTTATTAATTAATTTGATTTAAATTCAGTTGTGGCAGATACCAAAAAAATGGAAGTAGTATGTTTTCAGCATTGAAATCTAATTTAAATAGCATTGTTATCATGTGACATATAATGACACGAGGCAATCTCAATGCCACTAACTTCTGAATTGGTAGTCCTGTTGGTGATTGGTCAGGCTGTCAACTTTCTTTAACATAGAAAGAATAGGGAGTTGACTATCTGTGTGTCTCTAATCTGTGGCTGGCTCATGTCGAGCAGCTTGTTCAGTTACCAAATTCTCATATGGAATTAAGGGCAAATATGAGTTCAAAATTTTGTTTGTGAACTGAGATTTGGCTGTATATATTTGCATATAACCGAATTTATTATCACTGTTTCAAATGATTTTCATCTTTTAACAATAACAAAACATATGAGACTGTAACAAGAAACAACTTTTATTAAAAATATCTAAGCCAAACACTTGCTGTAATGTATTGGGCTATTTTTTTTCACTCCTGTTAATTAGATTTTAGGCAACCATTTGACTTTGATTAATGACATCAGGTTTTGAGATGTTTGTATCTATCAAAAATATCTAGAATTTATAATTCATCAGTTTTGATAATTAGTGTGTCCTTGATTATAATAAATTTTTTGTTCATAACAATATATTAAAAGCACTTGATATACATTACTTCAATAATTTTTTATTAATATAAATATATATGAATGAATTAATGAAAATTTACTTATATTAATTATAAGATTTTAATTTTTGAATTATGATTTCTTTTAGGAAACTCGAAATATTGGAGAAATTAAATATGATTTATCTCAAGTTAAAGTTCATTGCGAGTGAAATACTTGAAAAATATAATAGATTGAATTGCAAGAATCAACCAAACAAAGGGATAAATTTAATATATCGTTTGAAAGATATAGTTACTCTAATGGACTCTTACTCGATTAGTGATGATCCAGATATGTATCTGGAAACTGCCAAGTCCCATTTAGAAGAATGTAGAAGAATGCTTAAATTTTTTACTGATTTAGGTAAGATTAGATTAATAAATGTTTAAAAATGATTCTACTTTATTGATAATGTTGAAATTGTATACAGTCAATTCCTGTTATTAATCCGGTTGGTTAGTAGAACATAACTGCATATTAGGACAAACATTCAAGAATGGAATCAAATCCTATAACACAAGCACCCCGCAGTTTTATAGCCCCAAAAAGCTCCAGTCCCAATGCTGTACTATTAAATGGAATCGACTGTGTATCAATTTAACAAATATTACATCATATGTTTTTGACTCCATATTATTATTTCAGGTATAAAATGCTTACTTTTAGGTAGCCAATTGTTTAAATTTTTAAGTTTTTGTCCTGTTTTAGGACAATTTTAGCTTCTTAACGTACACAAGTCATTGTTCCAGTTCAGTTCAAACAGTAACTTGTCTAGTTCTTTTGTGAAAAATTTAAACAATTTACTACCTGAAATATTTAATTTTATTCTAACGTATTTGTTTGATTTGATCTCAAAAATATTAAGGAACAGAAATAAATTGCATGATGATTGATTAAATTCCTTTATCTTTTATATATAGTATAAATCTGTTGATAGTTAATGTTCTAAATTTCAAGTGCCAAGGTTTTTGTTAAATTACAGTGGACCTCAGGTTACAAACGCCCCAGCATACAAAATTTTCAGGATACGACATGAAATTCGAACATATTTTTGCTCCACGATACGAACAAAAACTCACCATACGATGTTACATTAGTTTGCATTTTTCATTTGTTTTTCTTACTACAGTTATTTTTTTAATGTATTACTTGGCTTTAATTTGAGTATGTTTTTCGCATTGGAACGAATTATTTGGTTTTACATGTAATCGTTTGGGAAAAGATGATCCACCTTACGACATTTTCATGATACGATCTCAGTTTCGGAACGGATTAATTTCATATCCTGAGGTACCACTGTACTAAACAGTCAACCCCCCTATAACACTATTGATAATTCCGTTTTATATGAATTCCATGTTGTACGAGTCACTTAGATTTTACAAATATGTGAGCCATTCACAGCCCGGCACACGTATTTGTAAAATCTAAATGACTCGTACAACATGGAATTCATATAAAACGGAATTATCAACAGTGTTATAGGGGGTCGACTGTAAATATATATTTGTTTATGTAGTTTAGTTTAAAGTTAATAATTTCTTTGCTCTTACAAGATATACTTAATTGTTTGATAAACATAAAATTATATTTTAGTTTTTTTCTTTATTAATTTTAGTAAACATTGCTCCTAAAATCCTAAAAAGTTATTTTATGAAATGAGTTAAAAACTTCTTATTACTGTATTTAAATTTTACAAATAAGTAAAAATAACAAAATAATAAATATAAATATCATTGCTATTTAACTTAAATTTGACTATTTTACAATTTTAATGAATCAAACATAATTTATCATTGCAAAATATCATCTTCAGGTTGAGCATACGATATACACTCAACCAAAGATGGCATTTTGTAATGTCAAAAATACTTGTTCTTAATTAAATACTTTCCAAGTAAACAACTTTAATGCTGATAGACAGTTTGCTTTATTCTCTATATTTTGTGAATTATTATACAGATATCTTTCAGTTGAATTTTTGAAAAAGAAATTTTTCCCATACTTGACAGTCAAATGCAATTTCATTACAAATTTATTTGATATTATCTTATTTATGCTAATTAAAAACTTATTTTATTGCATCAAATAAATTGAAGAGAGTTGGTTCAATATAAGTCCACAAATGACTGGTTTTGAGTTATCAATGATTTTTCCCTCTGTGCATGCATCCCTATCTATTTGTACAATAGGAATATACAACATGCCTAATTGTGAGATGTCACCAGTACTTGAAGTTTATGAGTGGGAAATAACTTGTATGTCCTTGCATCTCCATACTTCCACATATTCTTAAATGTTTGAAGGAAAGTGGCAAGATAAGAAGAGTAAAGTCCAAGGACAT